TAAAGCCTTCTTTTTGACATCAATCACAATTTTGACAGCTGCAGCAGCTGCGCCGGAAACCCTCATCGATGGGCGAACAAATTAAAGAGAATGCAAATAAGTCAATTCCCATTTCAAACATGAGATGAAATTAATGCGCTACCAAATAAATACGACAAGATAAATGTTTTTCTTTCCTTTTCTTTTCCTTACTTTTTTTCTTTTTTGGTAACAAGATAAAGCGACGGCAGCAGTGGGGCAAGCAGAGCTAATAAAAATACACGAGTCCTGTGCGCGTCCTTCCGAAGTGTGAGTGTGTGAGGCATGCCTTTGGCTGTGACAGGGTGTGCGAGTGCGTGTGTGGCACGTTTAGCATTTCAAAAGGCGTATTGTTTATTTTTCTTTGCTTCTCTATCTTCTTTCTGTGCATTTTCGCATTCAATGTTATTTATCTGCGTTTTTATACGTATCTTATGTGGGCCCCTCGTACTGCCTTTGTAACCCAAAGTCTCTTTCACAGTGCGCTTTTTTGTAGTTAACTTCTTTGTAGTTTTCGCTCACTTATTCATTTCTTTTTCACACACACGTGCCGTCTGAGTGTGTGTGTGTATTAAACTCGGCTTGCTGCAACTTGTCACGTACGGCAACAACCTTTGCCACTTAAAGTTTTAAGTTGTGCGGCACTGTAAAAATATGTTTTAATTCCATAATCAGCTTCGGCTACGAAATCAATTCCCCATTGTTCGAGAGAGTCCAAAAAATCATAGCATACTTTGCAGCGCGACAAATGCTGGTCACGTACAATCCCTAAGTTAATGGAGGAGGTGAGGCAGGGAGGCAGGGAGGCAGGGCGACTGAGTTACGCTGGGGCAGCTGTCGCTGTTTGGGTGCACTTAGCATTGCTACATAATTTCAGATGGCGTCGTTTTAAGAATTATGAATGCCACGTGACTTCTGCTGGCCAAATAATATAAAAGCACAAAAATTGGGGTAGGAAATTGCAGCTGAACCGAAACATTCTACTTTTATCTACAAGCGAAGCAAACACAAAATGAGCATCGTATTAATAAGAAATGCTTGAACTTTAAGAATATTTGATATATTTTAGTTTTTAATTGCAAATCTGTGAGTAGCAGATGAAATTTGTGATAGATTCTGCCTATGAAAATAAGTTTGTTGGCAGAGTCTTTGCATGAGCAACATTTCTGCGCAGATATCACAGAAATTCTTTTGCATGTGGCTTAAAGCGTGCAGTTGGATTTAATTTATATGGGCAGCAACTCGACCCGACCGGTCAAAGGTGTCGCACATAAACCATTCAATCTGACATCGCACAACTGTGCACAGCACAAAGGGACAGAGGAGACAGACGGCTAGAGGCTATGACAATGCTCCATGTTGACCGCAACCAAAACTTTCGATTTCAGTTCGTTAACGTGCAAAGTGAACACGTTTCTCGACAATGCACGGAGTTATATTTGGCTGGGGTGTTTTTTTGTCTTTTTTGGTTTGGTTTCCGGATTTACCACGTGGGTAACCCACGGCTGCAATTTACCAGGTTGTCGCTTTTTTTTTCCTTTCATTTGTCGAGTGGTTTCTTCTTTTTGTTGTTGTGGCTTCCATATTCATTTGGCAGGGCTGCAAATTGCGCACGAAACATGCGAGCGAGTGCAGAAAACCAATTTGTAATAAAGACTACGAATGAGAAGGACATAAAAGTGGACATGGCATGGCGAGGCCAGCCGGATTATATGGCTAGCGAAAGATGTTGACACATCACGCAGCATCGCAGAGCCAGAGAGCCAGGAGAGAGCAGATTCTGGCATTTGAATGTTTTCAATTAACTTTATGTAGATAAATAGCCAACAACTAGCATTGACGCTCGCGGGCGCTTTAAAAGAAAACAAAAAATGATTGTGGCAAAGTCGGAGGGCAGAAATAAAATGAAACATTGCATAACAGTAAATTACGCGCAGCGGAAATTGCATTATCAGCGTCAAAAGGCGCCAAGGACTATGGCCAGCGAGGACTATCAAGGACTCGGCTTGCACCCTGCAGCGCTTTGGCACTTCCTGCGCGTCGAGACAATGACAACGTGCATCGCGGATGAGACGCCAGCCAGCACGGAATGAGTTGTGATAGTAAACTTTTTGCGACGCGCATAATTACAGCTAAAAGAAAGGGATGCTCCGCCTGCCCCGGCCCAGCAGCAAGACTGATGAGCAGTTTATGACTTGGCGCTTTTGCGCTGCATTTAATATATATTTCTGCTGTATTGTGTTCTGTTTGCTTTCCTTGACACCAGACGCACATTTGTAAATAACAGTTAATAACAAAGTGGATTACTCTTGGCAGTGCAGCAGTTATATGAAATTTTAATGAATTGTTAAAGCCAAGTTAACATTAGAGCACATGTGTGCACTCCAGACCGAATCGCTCCCTTAACTTTCGTTTCCAATAAAGTTGAGTGCCGTCTCTGGACCCTTCCTCCCCGCCAAGCCCAACCAACACACAAATGGAAATTTTACGCAGCCGTGAAGAGGAGGAAAAGTGCCCTTTAAAATCACTTTATTATGCATGCGTGCCAATGGCTGTGTGGACACATTTGTTACCATACGATAATTTATAAGAAAAAGCGTTCTCATCGAACCGGCGACATTTCACATTCCATTCCCGGAATGGCGCTGTCTTCGAGCGATAAAAAGCCAGCGGCGACCGACACGCGCTTTAATCATGAAAATTCATATTGAGTGCCGGCACATGTTGGCACACGCTCGATAACGATAGCTACTTATGGGCATAGATGGATGCACTCACACCTGATAGGTGTGCTTACATATGTAAATGTAGCCATTGAATTAAAATTTCAAGAAATTTCTAAGACACTTGCTGTCTGCAGTGGCATAATATATCTATGTGTAGAGTCTATGTATATGTTTGGGCAGCCAACAAGTGCAGGGCCTGCCGCATGCCACATGCCACATGCCACACGCCCCACTGTCACAGCCTTGTCGTCGCACACACAAAACAGCTGCACAATTTCCGTTAAAAACTTTGCGCTAAAACTTTTTGTGTGCGACTTTTGGCAGTGGCGAAGACAAAGGACGCTTAACAACAGGCAGAAGCTGGATACTCTAACTAACTGAATTTTAGCATAGTTAAATATAAAGGCGAATGCATTTAATTTAAAATTATTCAGTTATTTTAGCTTTCGGTTTATGAGGATATTTTTATGTTCTTAAACAGCTATAATATAGAAAACCTTCGCAAATAATTCTATCACTAATAAAACTTTCATGTTTCTTGCTTGCTCAAGTCCAATAAGAATCTAGTCAGACTCTGCGTTCGTCTAAGTTATAGTCAGTTGGAAGTTTCCGCCGCATGCACTTCAATTGCGTCGACATTTACATGCCTGAGTCATTGGCCAAGAGACTGCGCTCTCTGCTTCTCCCCCTGCCGACAGTGTCTTACATCTGCTTTGACTCTAATAGATTTTAATCAGCCGCAGGATATGCGCCTGGACGCTGCCAAGGACAGCGACAACATGCTGTTTTTTCGAGGCCAGCTGCTGCTGCTGCTGCTGCTGATGAAAATCGCCCACGGCGCAGAGCTTTAATTAAGCGATTTGTATAAAGCCCGTACAATCTAAGCTCTATATATATATATCATTTGAAATGCCCATTAAATTTGGTTAAAGTGTGGCCCGTTTTCCACGCGCGACACCTCGAGGGAGGGTGGCGGCGGCTTCACACGCCTAATGAGGCACTCACTGAGTGCATACACTGCTCGAAAAAAGCTGTTGCATTTCGGTTTCAGCACTTTGACACGTTTGCCACATAAGTAGACGCTGGGCGCAAACATATTTCTTTTTATTTACGTAATTGGCTGAGTGCTTCGGGCGCTTGGTGCTTGGCGCTTTGCCTCAGTTTATGGCCAGATATATATATTTTAATGGCCTTATCGGTTGATATCCGTAACCGCATCCGCATCCGCATCCACGTCCGCTACCGTTTCTGGCTATAAAATGACCCGCATAAATGTTGCCCGCGCATTACGCATTTAATTTTCGCCCTCTGCCAGCGAGCCAAGTGTGAAATATCAGCTCCTGGACAGCTGGGCCAATAAAAGTGTCAAATGGAAATGCGTATAATGAGCATCAGAGTTCAGAGTTCGCAGCATTGCTGCAAGGACATCATCGTCCTGTGCTTTTGCTGCTAACCAATTGAATGTCAATGTCGCATCCGCTGCGCTTGACTTCTGACCGCCTCGACCGAACCGCCCCGCCCCGTCGCGTCGTTAAAGTGCTTTAAAATGCAAAGTGCCATTATTTGTGTGCATCGTTAAATTTCATTTAAAGCAGACAGTCAGCGACAATTTCGCCTTGCCTGCCCCCATCGCGCTGCCTTGCCCCATTTGCCGCTTTGCCACAAACTTTCGTTTATCTTGTCATCGTCATCTTTATTGGCTGCTGCTGCTGCTGTGGCTGCTGTTATCCTGCGGGCGTGTTGTGTCCATAATTTCGCATGTAATTCGATAGGCCACAGATAGTGGCTATCTCTAATGTCTAATCTAAAGACCAAGACAATTCTGCAAATAAAGCTGTTAAGCTGGTAGCTAGCCAAATAAAAGTAAATTAAATACTGTTTCCACATCAATGTGCCCTCACAGTCAAAGATGCGCTTCCAGCTTCAACTAACATGGCCTATGAAACGAATCGAAATGGTCCTCCCTAGAAAAAAGAAACTAGAAACAAATGAGCGTCGTAAGTGTCCGACTAGCTGATACCCTGAGCTCTGCTTAGTTTCTGCTTCTTCGTACAGACTTTGGTCCTAGGTTGCGGATGGATGGATGACGGAACACACGAATGGACAGATATACTTTTGATTATTATTTGATTATCCTTCAGATGCACAAAAAATAAAACCAATAAAATAATTTTAAGAATTTATTAAAAATATTTATATACATATATATATACAAAGATATATATATAAACATATATATATTTTTATTTTTTTCTTCTTTTTATTAGTCTAAACTTGAATTTCGGATAAATTGCATTTCTCCGATACCTTCACCCAGAGGGGAATAGCGAGCACAAAACAAAGTCCCTAAAAAAGAGGAGAAAATTAAATAGCCCAAAAGCCTTTCGAGATCAGAGCAGTTTATACTTACGGAAAAGATAATACACAGTTCATACCATATCTGAATACTCAGTTCATTATTAGATGTTTCCAATGGATCTACAAATTTGCGTAATAATATTTTGACGAAAAAATACATCATCATTGCGACTATGAACTGGAATAAATTTCAAATAGTCAAATAGGTCGCAAATACTTGAGACTCACCCGCTTCAGTTTTAAGGTATTATTGCGATACGTTCCATTAATTCCAGTGACAAGTGGTATATTAATTAAAGTATTCATTACAATCGATACGATTAAAGCTGTTCTAATATTTTGCTGGCCATTGCACAGGGTTACGATGGCCACGCTTCCGTCCAGAATATTAAAAATCTAAACAGCAAAAAGCTAGCTGAGTATATATATATTGTTCACTCATATTAGAACTTACTGCAAAAATGATGATTACAATTAAAGTTGTATATCTGAGTGCTTCGAATTGAAGTAAACACATTTTTACAATTAATTTTCTTCATACTCAAAATGTGAAAACCAGTTCCTTTGTTTTCTTTTCCTGTAAAAGAAAATTTGAAACAGGCTACTTTGATTGCTACTAAATATAAGTTTTAAAAATTGAGAAGCTTTGAACAACAAACTTTAAAAGCTCGTGGAAGCTTTTTATAAATAAGACCTTTTAGATACCAAATATCCATTAGACCACAATTCATAAGGTCAAACCAATTAAATTTTTTAAAAATCATTATCAAAAATTTTATTTGCCGTTGTATTACCTGAGCTCCCACTTTTCGCCCAGTTTCAGGTATAGAGTAAATACAAAAATCAAGCTGAAAGCCTGAAAGAAACATCCAAAATATAAGCCACAAGCATCGAGTGTCTTGGTAGCCACATCCACTTACCGAAAGTGCTGCTTGCAAGTAATACCAGGGACTCAGAAAGTTTGAATAGAATTTAGTATCAAAGACAACGGCTTGGTCCGCAATTAATATCTTACTTATAAAGAAGGCTATAAATGTGAATATACACTAGCGGAGATGGAGTAAACGTGGTCAACTTATGCAGTACCTAGAGTGATCTGAACTTACAAGCTTGAGCGGCCATTTTTTGTAAAAAATGCCTCCATAAATGCCCAAGCCAGTTGTAGCAAAAAGAATACTATCCAGTATTATAGAGACGACCAGTATGCCTTTCGCAGCACCGTCGAACTCGCTTACCAATTGTATGCAGTGGAAAAGGTTACAAGTAGTACATATCTGAAAAGAATTGCATTTACTGTCTTTTATGCGATTGCAAAATCGTAGCTTACCATAACTACCAAACATAATACGACCGCATTGATTTGCAGTACAAGTAACTGTAAGAAACACATGTTCTGTAAGCCAAACTCCAACTAAATGTTCTTTAAAAGCGACAGACAACTTTCAGACTCGTTCGACCTTTACGATCAGTACGAAGACTAATACCATCGAGACAAGCTATACAGAACATAAATTAATGCAATCATAAACATCGCTCTCTCACGGTTTTTCTTTTTCTTCAATTCACTCACACAACATAAGCACGACACGAAAAAAAATATATCGGATAAACGACCCAATTTCGATTTAGCTGCGCGCTCTTGAAAAATTATCCAAATAATTGCCTTAAACACGAGGTAGACCGTCAAACAGGCCGCTAACTAAAATGTTCGTGCGTAAATTATATTTTAGATTGATTTTGAACTTAATCTTAAGTAAGCTTAAAGCTTATATTTTTAAAGTGCCAAAAGCTTACGCAGAATTTAATTTTAAGATGAAGCTCGTTACTCTACAATAAATACTTATACAATTAATACAATAAGCTAAGAGCTTTAAGCTCTTTATATATATTAAGGTCAAATGCAAGCAACAAGTAAAGCTTAGCAAACAAATATCATACTAAAAGCTTTCTATATTTTTAGTTTAAGTGCAAGCTTTTTTGTAAGTGAGCTTTAAGCTCATTAATTTGTATTGCTAATTAATAATTAATACATATATGCATGCAAAGCCTTTCAGCTTAATATATTTTGGAAAACTTGTTTTCAACTTAACTATGAACAGTTTAAATGCTTTTTGCGCACATAAGATATAAATTCCAAGGGACAATATGACGATGACGAACACAGTTGCAGCTGTGATCGAAAGGATCATAAATGGCACTGCCGCAGTATGACTGATGATATAGGCAATATTCACACCCACTTCGGCAATACAAATTTGCTTCACATATCGATATATATATATAGATATAGAAAAGGGTATATGAGGGATAAGCTACTGCACAAAGACTCACCAAAAGGATGCCCAGAGAGACTTCAGTAGCGATTTTAACACATCGTGACGATTTAACTCTGCACATTGCAGATTCTAAATATGTATAAATATTAGGTAACAACGTTTGGATTAGAAAAAACTATAAACATAAATGACAACTATTTCAAGTGAAACATTAGTTAGCTACAACAGCCAGCCCACAAGATGTCCAACATCCAACATGCGCAACAACAGCAACAACAATGAGAACATTGTTGACAACTTCCAGTTGAACGCACAAAGCGAAGCCAGAAGACAGTATCGACTCCTTCGAAACAACCCCTACAGGGCATACGGCATACGGCATACGGCATAGAGTCGCAGTCAGTGGCTGTCCTTGCCAGCTTGCTTCTCCTTGTTGGTTGTCCCTTTGCCAAAATAATCGCCACAATAATCTGTCAACGACAGCTGTTGATGTCATAAAAACCTTTTGAAGATGTAAAGATGTTGTCACACACACAGCAGCAACAACAACAACAACAAAAGCTAATGATAATTTGCCACAATTTACACAGCAACAGGAGCTGCCCCAAACCAGCCGCATCTAATGGCTGGCGATAAAATCATTGATGAAGCTAAAAAGCTAATTGAATGTTAATCGCTTGACATTGACATTGCACGTGGCTGTGGCTGTGGCTGTGGCTCTGGCTCTGTCTCTGGCTGTGGCCGATAAAGGCCAAAAAGGTGAGCATTGAATTTGCATAGACTAATGATAAATCAACGGGCGGTCCGTGCTTTAAGGCCATGGCTGCGTCTTTGCTCATTTATTTATGCCACAACAAGACACAAATAAAATGCAAACAGTCTTTAAATTAAAAATTAAATTTTAATCTACAGCAAGGGGCCAGCATTGCCGCGGGCCAAGTGATGATCCGTATCAGTTAGTAGAGCTCGACAAGGTGGTACTAAGCAGCGGGAGGGTTGGTTTCTTAGAAAAACCAAGCTCACAGTTTTCAGCTTGTCCTTTGTCTGGGACGATGACATATCGCGATGCTGAATTGTCTGAGCTGCTTGGGTTCTCATTTCTTTTCTATTTCTGCTTCAGTTCGTCTGGCAACATCCTCCAAATTTGCCTAGACTGTGGCAGTTTGAGGGATTCCGTTGAGTTACTGAAAGCAAATTCACAAAGAATTTCTTTCGTTATATATATATATATAATATATAATATATATAAATTTAGAATATTATATATAATATTATTCATTACGTAGATTTAATATTTTTATTATAAATATGTCATATAATCATTCTAGTTCATAAAATTCAATTCAAATTTAATATTCATGGAACGACGCTCTGTAAGTTAGGACTCTTTGGCTGCTGGATGCTCATCCATCATTTAGATACGTTAGCTTCTGGAATCAGTTACTTCTTCTATTCTTGATATACTTAGACTAAGCCATTACACTCAAAATTACCAATTTAAACTAACCAAAAAATTAAAATTATATAAAATACATTTAAATATTTAATTTTCTAGAATTTTGTTTTAATTAAACTAAATTAATTTAAATTTAATTCTAATATATACAGAAGAGAATCAGAATTTTCCACTAAAAACAATTGACAAAATATTTTTTAAATTTTTCTTATACATATTTTAAATACCTCGATTATTTGTCAGTCAAATCTCAATGCTCAATTACATTTTGAGCAGATATCAAAAGAAATACATTCAGCCCGTTCAATGTTGAACAGCAAAAACAGCAGCAGCTCGGCAACACTGGAATTATGGCAGTGGTCTGGCATGCACAGCTAACATTTGCTGTTGCACAAACTTTTGAATTGGACACTCGAAAGTGGAGCGTCTGGCCATGACGGGGACTACATAAAATGCAGTCACAGCTGTCTGGCTCAGCTTTGGAGGCATTTCGGGGTTCGGCCCTTTTCACGTTTTGCGCCATGTCCGATACAAATAGCACAGATGGCATTGGCCAAATAGCCACAGATGCATCAATTGTCTAATTGTTTGCCGAGACAGAGTCGTCATAATGTCCATCAAATTACGGCCCAAGAGTTGAGTTGAGTCGAGCTGAGGTCACCAATACAATGTGAGGGTGTCTGACAGCAAAACCTTGCTGTCTGGCTGCTGTGGGGATGCCCGTGGGATAGGTAAATTTGATTTATGACTTATTATGCGTCTTATGTCCTTTCATAATTTAATTATAGCAGGACATAGCTGCACAGACACCAGACAACAGGCTGGGAATGTGAATGTGCCTGCGAGTGAGAAATGCACTTTTTATCCACGTCTCTGGCCCCTCGCTTTCTCTGTATCGTGTAAGCACAATAAAGCATAATGCTCTGTTATTTAAATGATGAAAATTCGCTTACGTAAATTGGATTGCAACAATTGTTTGTGCTCAGCTGCATGCGCAAGCAGTTTGTGCAAAAACCAAAAGCGACAAGCCCAAGCACAAGCCAAAGCCAAAATGCAAATGTAATTAAACTGCACTTAGGCCAGTTCTCTTTCCACTCTCTCTCTCTCTCTGTGCGTGTGTGTGCTTGGTATGCCAAATGAAATTGAAATAAATTATTGACTAATTGTCAAGGCAGACAGACAGACAGGCAGACAGATAGACAGACAGGAGTATGCATTCTGCTGGCCCACATGGCGTATGCGCAATCACAACTGCAGCTAATTTCGTAAGAAAAACGTGTTTGAGTGTTGCCCCTTTGCCTGGTTTTTAACGCACATCTTCATTTAATTTGATTGTTTATGCTGGCATTAGCCTGGGAATTGCCAGAAATCAATGTCATCTCGGCCTGGGCCTGACGCCTGCTCCAAATCCAAAATAAAGTGTTTTACAATCACTTTTTAATCAGCTTTCAATTAGATGATTGGCCATACGCATGTCGAATGGCAATCGTAAGAGTACGAGTTAGCTATGAGTGTCATCCATACACCTGAGAGTATGACCAAGCTCTTTTATAAATTAGCTGCGCCAGAGCTGCTTGTGTTGATGGAATGGAATTTGCATTCGCTTTCAGGCCTCGAATTTCAATTTTCTGTAATTTAAATATTAAATCCAATTAATTTTCAAAGCAAGTATCGTAATGAAAGTTGAAATTAAACTTAGCTTGCTCTGAAAATGATACAATTTCATAGAGATAAACTGTTTCACATGAATTTTTAGCTATAAGACATAATTCGCTATGGCCTAAAAAGTTGATTGGCTTGTAAAAAATATTCTCAAATATATAAAAATAATTTTAAAAATTTTAAATATATTTTTCTATATTAACTCATGTTTATCTATATTTAAAAATTAAAGGAAGTAGAGAACTGGCCATACAAAGTGAAGTTCAAGGCATAGACTTCTCTGCTGAATTCGAGATATCTAACTCTTTTGAAGATATAAGGCATTGTCTGCTCATATGTATATAGAGTAAATATAGATTTAAAATCTTTCTCAGCCTTGTCTGCTATTCCCAAACAACTTCAAGATCACAGTGCATTAACCCTTATAATGTCTTGAGTCTAACAAAACATGCCCGCTCTTATGATATATGTTTGCTGAATGACCCAGAAAGCAAATGAAACTCTGATTGCTATATGTTATGTTATATGGGCTGAAACAGTCGATAATTAACAGACAATAATTATAGCAAGTGCAAAAAGCACAACTAACCGGGTCACAATTGTCTCTGGGTCTATTGTTTGTTCGGGTAAATTGAATGGCAATGAGACGGATTTTGATTTTGATTTCGATTTCGATGTCGATGTCCATTTCATAGATCAATCGGTAGGCAGCCAGAGGGCAGGCAGCTCGTAACGCTTAAGTGCTGGAGGTGTGCGAAAAAAAGAAACTGTTAAATCCAATTAATGGCATATAATAATTTGCAGGGCGTAAACACGCCCCCGCCACGAGCTCAGCGGAAAGCGGCTTAGCGAGCACGCGAAGGCCACCAATGAAAACGAGATGACGTCGCAGAAACCGGCTTCCAGCTTCGACTCCAGCGGCAGCTCCAATTGTTTTCAGCTGCTCTGATATAATTCATTGAACAATTGCACGTTTACTGCTTGTTAGGCTTCACTTTGCTTAGCACCGCTGATGATTTGTGGCCCAACCTCGAAACGGAAGCTTTGGCAAGGTTTAACGAATATGCGTTTTTATTATTATCGAAATAATCAACATTAACAAGAAGAAGTTTCAGCAACTAGCGCTAGCTGGTCTCTAGAAGCCCCAGTGAGTGCCGAAGCCATCGAAGCTCATGTGGGAGACGCTCTCGGCGGGCGAGTAGTGCACGGTCTGCGAGCTGCCGTAGCTGGAGACGCCCAGGGCGGGGGCATTGTGGGTATAGGTGGTGGCAGCTGGTCCATGGTTCACATTGGTGGTGGCCAGTGGTGTGGCATAGGCGACAGCTGGTGCGGCATAGCTCTTGGCAATCACGGGTGCAGAGTAAACAGTCTTGGCCAGAACGGGAGCTGGAGCAGCATACGAGACAGTCTTGGCCAGCACGGGAGCTGGAGCAGCATACGAGACAGTCTTGGCCAGCACTGGAGCTGGAGCAGCATAGACAGCCTTGGCAACAACTGGAGCTGGAGCGGCATACACAGCCTTGGCAACAACTGGAGCTGGAGCGGCATACACAGCCTTGTGCACAACAGGCGTAGCCTGAGTGTACAGAGGAGCTGCATAGGTGGTCTTGGCAATGGCCGGAGTGTACACATTATTCTGGACGCGAGTGTCTGTCTTGCGCACGCTGGAGTAGGGCGTATCGATAGCCTTTGAATAGCTGGAGACGGTGCCGTCAAAGGAGCGCACCACATTATGCTGCGTGGAGGCAACAGCATCCACGGCAGGATTAGCCACGGCCACATGGCTGGCCAGCAGACCGGCATTGGCATAGGCCACCAGAGCGCAGAGGGAGATGACGTAACGGAAAGCCATTGTGAATGGAACTGAAAACTGTTGCTAGCTGACTGACTGGGCTGCGACTGTTGCTGATTTGGCCAAAATGTTGCGGCTTTTATACGCAGCTGACGCGTGCCAAAACGACGAATGTTTGGTAATTGAGCCGGCCCACAATGAGAGATGCGAAATTGCTGTGCTGTTGAGCCGGATTGCCTGTCTGCCTGTCTGCCTGTCTCTCTATCTGTCTGTCTGTCCGTTGAGTATTTGGCAATTATTTGAAAGCCAATTTGTGACCATAAATTAAACGTCGTAATTACGTTTGCAGAGCGAACGACTCGACGGCACACGTGTAAAATTAATAACAATTTGGCAAAGAAAAAATTAGAGTATATAAAACGCAGGCAGCAAAAGAAATAGGGCGTGGCAGTCATCCCAAGTTGGCAACACAATTCAATTTGGGGGACAGGCGCCAACTTTGGTAATTTCAATAAATATTCATCATGCGCCCCGTGCGCCACAGGAGCAGCACAAAAACTTGCACGAAAGTACAAAAATCATAAACAACAACGAAAAGTAAAAAAAAAACAACGCAAAAAAAAAAGAACAAAAAAAACATCCCCACAGAAAAAAGTTGACACAAGCTGAAGAGTCCTTGAATGGGGGCGGGGCATATTTGCTGCTTGAGTTGAACTCAATTTAATGGAAAAATACGCGCGAACGCAATAAAAGTTTTTTGCGCTCTGTTGTTCTCTGGGAAATTTATGAGCTGCTGATAGTATTCAAAATAATTCACTTTTCGAACTCCGGCGAACTGCTTTTGGCCCGTCATTTGCCGACCCATTGAACCAGTTTCTTCGCCTAGGCCTAAGTCGCTCTGTCGCAAATGTTAAGGCCATTGCGACCGTGAAATTTGGCCAACATAATATTTGCTAAGTACTTTTTGTCGGCTATTTAAGCTGCGGCGTTGGTCCAGTTAGGCATCAGTAACAGCTCCAGTTGCAATTAAACAACAACCTCCTCAGTCATGGCATTCCAGTACGTCCTTCTCTCCATCTGCGCTCTGCTCGGTGCGGCCAACGCTGGCCTCCTGGCTCCAGCCAGCTATGTGGCAGCTGCTCCCGTGCTGACCAAGCTGGCCCAGCCACATTACGACGCCGTCGGCACCACCCAGCAAAATGTGGTGCGCTCGTTTGGTGGCACCGTCTCCACCTACTCCAAGAACGTGGTCACACCCTACTCCAGCGTCAGCAAAGTGGACTCCCGCACCACCAACAATGTCTACACGCCTAAGACTGTCTATGCTGCTGCTCCAGCTCCTGCTATCACCTATGCTGCTCCAGCTCCCGTACTGGCCAAGACTGTCTCGTATGCTGCTCCCGCTGTCACCTACTCAGCGCCTGCTCCCGTGCTGGCCAAGACTGTCTCGTATGCTGCTCCAGCTCCAGTTTATGCCAAGAGCTATGCCGCACCACTCGCTGCGCCCACGGCCTATGTGAAGTATTCGCCTGCAATTAACGTTGCTCACGTTAGCTTCGATGGCTTTGGCTCCCACTGGGGCTATTAGGTTGAGCCTTCGCGCTCAGCACTTGTTGAAACTGTTGTTGATCACTCGAATTAAAATTTAGTTGCAAGAAAAAACTTTGGCAATTGTTTTTATTATTTTTTAAAATTGTACAAATTTTAACTGCTTGCATTGCTTTTGCCCAACTGCCTGGCACAGTTAATGGCACATAATACACGCAACATTAGCAGTTGACAATGCTATGTCATGACACTAACTTGCCAACACTTCAACAAGACGTTGGCCAAGCTTGTTGCGTGGCTTGATAAGCTGCTCCACTTTAGCGCTAATGCATATATCTGTTTCTCTATCGAGCTCTTTCACATATTTATGTATATATATATTTATATATATATTCACATCCTCATTCCGTTTCGCTTTCCATCAATCTTGTTTTCTCAGTCGCTCTCTTTTAACCGCCCTTTCCCTCTCACGCACTCTTCATATTTTTCTTACATTCTATCTGCCTCTCGTTCTGGCTTTATCTCTCTATCTCTACCTCGTTTGCTACCCTGAGACGTCTCTTTCTTTCTGACTCTCCGTACCTCTCTCTCCTTCTCTCTCTCAATCTCCATATCTGTATATTTCTTTTACATTCTCTCTATATCTCTGTATATCTCTCGCTTTCTCTCTCTCTATGTATAGATCTCTTTACCTGTGTCTACCTCTCTCTCTTCATGTCAATTGATATTCTCTCTCTCTCTCTCTATCTGTATCTCTGAATTCTCTATATCTCTTTCTATATCACTTCCTCTCTATCTGTATCTGTATCTGTATCTATCTTTATATAAATTTAATCTTTCTCCTTATCTCTCAATTCTCTATCCCTCTCGCTCTTTGTCTCTCTTCCTTTCTGTCACACTATCAGCCTCTCCCCTTGTCTCTAACCTCTCTCACTCTGCAGCTCGTTACCCTATGTCTCTCTTATCCCGTCTCTCCCTCTGCATTCCCCTTGTCCGCAGCTGCCGCCTCATTCTGCACCTCCTCCCCAAAACGCTGCCCTTCACATGAGTTCAACATTTAATGGGGCGTATGTGTGCCATAATTTTATGCCTCACGCCCAGGTTCTTCCGCATGCATCGCTCTCACTCTATATAAATATATCTTCATTCTTTTTTCACAGGGTCGCAAAATATTTAGTGCAAAACTTTTTGTTTGTCTTTGCACTTGGTGGCAGCGGCGGTGCGGAAGGCGCACAAAAAATTGTTGGCCAAAGTTTAATGAGCCACATGACCCCTTTTGGTTTTTCAGTTAGCCCCCAGTTTAGCTAGCCTTTGCAGCCATAAACTTTGCGATGGGACCCATCGGCAGCTCAGCAGCTTGACCAAAGTGTTGTTATTGTTATTGTTATGGTTATGGAGGTCTGTGGCGGAAAAGTTTGGCCAAATCGTCGAGCAGCAGAGAAAAAAAATAGTATTAACTGCTTGGGCTACAGCAAACTATTTAGCCATAAAGTTGGCCGTTCTGCTGGGCATATTTTATGCATTTCGACGGGCATGAAAATTGTTTTCCATTTAATGTTGACAACAGTAAAATATATATATGCGCACATAGCACATAGCACATAGATAAAATATGTAAGAGCTCTTGTTGAGCATCCTAGTCCAAGCCATCCGATTGTCCTTGAATATGTGCTCAGTCGCATGGCTGCACTTCGCTTTTGCATATTGTTTCCGAGTATTTGGTGTGCTGTCCAGGCTGCTGTTGTTTGGCTATTTGCAATAGTTTTGGATTCGCCTTTGTTGATTTCTTTATTGGCTCATGCATATGCAGAGCGAACAGAACGGACGCTCGGACATTGGCTGACAAGGACTCAGCCAGCCAGACACTCGAGTGTTTATCGTTATTGATTGCAGCTGGTGAAATATGAGAAGTGTAAGTCGCTGCCAATACCAATTCCCACTGAAATTCCCATCCAATTCCCAATTTCAATGCCATCCAATTTGTCTTCCAAATGCAAATTCAATTTGCCACTAGAAAAAGATTTTCTCCTTCCACAGAGTTCGACAGTTGCGCTTTGCCACCTTCTTCCGCTTCAGGTAGACATAGAAGCCAACCAAAAATATGATGAGCACTAACTGTTATCGATATACGATAGACACATCAATCGTTTCGAATGCTATGCAGACTTACCAGAATTAACGGCGTAATCAGCTCGATTTGCAATAGTTGTCTCTCAGTGATACTTTTATTAAGACACCCTGCGGAATTCAGAGAAGCAGCCGATCGATTATCATTGGCGAAGCAACTGGCTGGCAATTCACCAAATGTGAGCAGATAATCATCGGGACCCAGGGCGCCACAGCACTTGTACTACAGAAGAGAGCTTGAAGCGGCAAGCAAAGTTGACATGAAAGATTTGCGACTTACCGTAGTTTCGTACTTACTGAGGCTCTGTCCATTCTCCCACAACTTGTGGATGTCATGCACGAGCGGATAGCTCTGTGTCAGCACCAGGGTTACCATTAAATCCAGAAAGCTGCTTACCGCTAGGACGGTCAGGTACTGCAAAAGGATATCATGCTGCAGTTGGTACAATAATGAGACCTAAATGACTTACAATGCGCAGTGGCTTTAAGTTCTGATAGAGCACCAAGCCAAATCCCAATAATAAAATGCAAATCAGTATAAGGCACCCCACAAGCGAGACAATTTCAAATTTTAAAAAATCACAGCCTGGCGTATTCAAATAGTAGTTCACTATCGAAGCGTAGTACACGGTATCATTGACAACGCAGCTCTTTGCATGAAAATAAATAAAAGAAAAGCGAGAAGATATATAAATTAATATATAAATTAATATATAAATTTATATATAAATTTATATTTATATTTATATATAAATTTATATATATATATATGTCGATCGACGCTTACTAACCAAGCATATGACAAAGCCTATGAGCACAATCCCGCGAAAGCTAATCAATTTCCAGTTCCTTTCCTGCGGAACGGGCACAACGTTTGGCTGTCTCTCCTGGGCTCTCTGCATAGTGTGTAATAATCGGCTGTAATATAGTTCAGATGTAATCAAAGCAAATTCACATTCAATTAAAATTCTTTGACCCAAATTCTAACTCAAGTTAAAAATTGAAATCAACAAATTTTGCACAACTTTAAATTTTGTAGAATTTACTGTTTGGATGACTGAAGTACAGAACTGAAAGCAAGACTTTGCACTTGATTAGCCAACTTAATTTAGCCGTTTATAGTTCAGCTAACACAAATATAACAAATTGTTGTGAGTTTTATATGACAATATCGTGTGAGCAGTATTTACACGATATTCTTCAATTTCTCAAATGTTACAAATTCGTAGACAAGATTAGGAATTCGAGGAGCCAAAGTTCTGGAAGGACATCATTTGACCGAGTTTTCTCGCTTGAGTTGTATCCAATTCTAGTCAATTTTTCTTCGATACCTCTGCAGGTTTGTCGAAAATTGAAATTGTGTTGTAAAAAATATATAAAATATTCAAATTTGATTTACAGTTATTTGTGAAGTATTTGGAAAATGTAATTGAATATTTTGAAGTGCACAAAATAAACTCGAGGTCAGGTAGCAGCCTCTAAACATATGTATAAATACCAAAAAGAAAAGGAAATAAAACACAAATGTCAAGCTTCTGCGCCAGGTTAAAGCGATTTCTGGAATTTGCATAGATTTGCTGTGGTGTTTGCTTCGGTTTCGCTTAGTTTGGCTCGCTTCGGTGCGGTTCGTATGAACGTCTCCAGTCTATGGAATTTTTTAATCAAACAGTTGCCATTAATTACTGCAGAATTCTGCCAGCCACATAACAGACATTTTTTCGACGGACTCCAAATGAATGAAAGCCAAAAGATGGCAAGAGGGCAAGAACCAAGGCGCGGCCAATACTCCCGCTTCACATGTTTTTGTTGCCGTTCGCTGTGTGTGGTGTGTGGCAGTAGCAACAAAAAAGATTGCCACGGGCTAAACCGCAACGCAGCCAGAGCTGGCTCGCAACCAGTGAAATAGGGATGGAGAGAGGAAGGGAGATAGAAGCGTTGAGTGAGGTCTTTGCGTTGCAGCCATTCAACACAACTAAAAATCAAATTAGGTGCAAACGAGCAGCCGTCAGCAGCGGTGGCTGCTGCCAGTGGGCGTGGCCGCGCCCAATGTAATGAATAATTTATAATGCAAAAGCGCTGATATTTTTTGTTGCCTTCGCTCTTAGCTGAAATTAAAATTTTGTGGCTTTGCTTTTCATACGCCAGTTAAAGTCAAAGATTTTGTTGTTTTCTGCTTGCAGAAACTTCAGCTGCAGTCGGACGGCCCAAAGCCAAGGGTGGGCCCAGCTCCATGTGAAGGCGGCTGATAAATGTGCGTGTGCTGGTGTCAAGTGCACGCTCGTGAATTCAATTTGATATACAAACTGATTTATCGATGCTGAGCAGAGTAGTGTAGAGCTCCGCCCACTTGACTCCTCCTTTCCACTTGAAGCACTGCCACACGCCATTCATAAGTCAGTCAGTCAGTGGGCCAAGCTGCAGCTTCTTAAGGGGGGAGTCGTGTCTGCTCAAGAGACGATAAAAAATTACATACACTTGTAACTGTTGCTGGCTGCAGCCCCTAACAAGGTTAATTTGTTGCGATCGCACAGCGCACTGTCATTTATCTTCGCTGTCAGCGCCAAGTCTATGAAGCAGCCAGGCTCTAATTTGAATTTAACAAGCTTCGCATCGAGAGCGTGTCCTCAGTTAGTCAGTCAGTAAAAGTCAGGCAGGCAGGCAGGCAGGCTGGATGGCAGTCAGTGAGAGTCTATCACAGCGCTTTGAAAATTAAAAATTTATTGCCAGACGAGGTGTCAATCATCGCCTCGCATCGCAATAAAAAGTAATATGTAACGGGAACACAAAAAGATGATGGGAACTTGAAGCACAGCAAGACGAATCTGGAATGCTCTAACTCCTGGATATGGATATGAGAGCAAGAACTATTTATCTTATATCTTTTGCAATTATGAAGACAATTTGTGGCTTATATATAAATTTATTAACATGAACTTTGCCATGAACACTGGAGATAGGACTCTCTATATATATATTTATATATTTTTTTAGATTTTGTCATACAGTTACCAATGAGCTGGATAAACTGCTATATCTTTTATATTTCAGAATTTCTAAAATAATTTTTCATTTTAAATTTTTGTTCCTGACAGTTGCCATGAACTTTGCAAGGAACATAAGAAACGCATTTTTTATATTTTATATACAGAAACTTTTTGCAATGATACATGAATTAATTAATAGTAATAATAGTACTAAAATTTAACATTAACTTTACAATGAACATATAAAAACAATTAAATTCAATATATGTACAAAGTCTTTTAGTATTCAATTTAAATTTCAGTTAACATGAACTTTACAATGAAGATTGAATTCCAACTGTGATTTAAATAGTGAAAAAGTAAGAAAAATATTAACAATCAAATTTTTATTTAATTAAAATTTGCCATGAATTTTGCCATCAACTTTTGGGAATTCATATATCTATCTTTCTATAAATTTGCCATGCCATCCAGAGGGCCAACTCCCTACAGCTGCCCATCGAGCCGCATTGACCACAAAACAAAGCAATTCACATATTCACCATGCTCTCTGTGGAGCCATAAAGAGTCTAAAAAAGGAGAAAAGTCCCACAGGACTCGGAGGACACTTCATCATCAATTTGTATCCGTGCAATGTTTCAATTTCACTTGTTGGCTTCTCGATTGTCGCTTGTCGCTTTGTCGCTTTGGGTTTTTGGGGCGACACTTTTATGGTTTTCAGATTTGTGCTCATGTATCCACCAGCTATCATGCATTTTTTATGAACTTTCCACTTGTTTTTCCTCGAATTTTCGGTTGGCAAATGGCAGCTGGAGTAATGACCGTTGCGTGTTTTCTAATTGGAAAATTCTTAGAGAAATTGAAAAATTTCCATAAAGTTGCTGAGTGAAAATGAATGCCGGCCATTCGCTTTGCAGCACATTAGATAATAGTTTTTATTTGTATTTCGGCTCTAGTGTGTAGAGCTGGAAATAAAATTTTGTTGCATATTTTGCGGCGTCAAATGGCAGCCACAAAAATGAATGAAATCGTAAAATGCAGGCACGCCGGACAGCCAGCCAGCCACAGCAGCGCAGGGCTAATAACGTACACTCAAAAACCGGATATGCCGCAGACCCCACCAAGCCCTAAGCTCCCCCCACACCCAACCACCGATGCCCACTTTCATCTAAGCTCAGACAAGCTCTCAATGTGTACGTACGTGTGTGTGTGTGTGTGTCTGTTTGCATTGGCATTTAAGTGCCGAAACGAGTTTTTAGGGCCAGAGCAACGTCTAACATAACCTCAATTTGTTTGTGTGTGTGCGTGTGTGTGTGTGTGCTCTTTGTTTGTATTTTGTTTGTCTTTTATCTGCGTCTGTATATCTGTCTGCTCCTCCCACCCGTTCCTTTTGGCTTCAGCATTGCAATTGCATTGCCGTTCAGTTTTTCTCGCGCTGTGTAAATATTTGATTTTTGCATTAAAGTCAATTTGCTTTCATGATTCCGTAATTCATTGTTTACCCGCGCTAACTTCTATTACGCCTTCCGCCACGCCCAACACTTGGCGTGTTTAATTTTCCAACATTTGCCGGCTTTCTCACTTCTCTCTCTCGCTCTCTCTCTCTCTCCCTCTCTGTTTGTCGGTTTTATTGTTTCTTTTCGGTCTTCGACCCGCATTTCCGCTGCATTTCCTACAAGCAACCGACGCAGTGATATCCGCATCATCTTTGTTTGTTGCCCTGCCCCGCCCCGCTGCGCAGCCCACATTGTTGTTGGCTTTCTCGTCCTGGTTGCTTGTTTTAATATGCGCACTCAACGTTAGAAATTAAATCTGGCGCTCAAATGTTATTTGCGCTTTTCGTTTATTTATTTATTTATTATTTGCTTACGCCTCGTCTCGCCTCCTGTCAGCCCCACTGAGAGTTCCTGATGCTGCCCAGAACCCACACAGCCAGGCAGCCAGGCAGCCAGCCAGCCTGCCATCCAGCCCACTTTTCATTAGGTAATGCATAATAAGCACGAGTATCTGAGTCTGTATGCGAGTGTATTTAATTTATGTTCACTGGGCCAACAGAACGCAGCTCTCGTAAAGATCTGGATAAACAATGTGGAATGAGTCGCACTTGCGGGAGCAAACAGTTTTCTTTTTTGTTGTTTCTAGATTATATTTTCCACAAAGGCGGGATTTTATGAAGTTTAATCGTTTCTATATAGAGAAATTATCAACATTTTAATGTGATTTTTGAATGGGAATGTCTATGGATGTATTTATGAGAAGCAGCTAGAAGGGCGAAGAAAATCGAAGTATTAAATATGGCTTTTAGTGACATATATAAATAGGATTGGCAAGGTATGGAAGCTTACTTTTTTATGGGAATCAGATAGAAAGGCGCAGAAGTTCTAAATGCTTTAAAGAGATCTATACTATCTTCATGATAGCTTGATGTTTATGTGATTCTTGTGGGAGGAAAATATGCAATCATCACTCAGAATGTAGAAATATATTGTAAAGCTATTTAAAAATAATTCCTTGGTTTATCAATATCTTGATTAGGCTTGGATAGAAAAATGTCTAAGCTTAACATATAGATTAAACTACAAAGATGAAATGAGAAATATAAAAAAAAAATTTCACTCAAGATATTTTTGTAATATATTTTAATATATTTAAATATTATTTAATCTAAATCAAATGACAGCATTTGAAGTTCACGTCATTTTGCTCTCTAGCAGGAAGCTGTCAAAGATTCGGCTGTACTTTATATGAAGATCTCTTCACTTTAAGTGCGCGTTACACAAACAACCAAACTGTGTGTAGTTTTCCTATTAGCAGAGCTATTGCGAGTATAAAAATTTACATGTCTCACGCAAGGAAACAGAAGTTTAACAGGCCACAAACTTAACGTTAAGACCTCATTTAACAGGCCTTTCACACGCGCATCAACATTTTATGGGCAAGCGCCGAGCCAATGGGGGGTTCATTGATACGCTAACCTAGCCAAGGCAAAAATCAAATATTTCGCTATGCATTACGCAGCACGCAGAGCGAGAGAGTGGAGCCCTCCCTTGGTCTATCATTCGATCATTATTCGTATTATAAGAGGAGCGATGCCTGCAATTTTAACGAGCTTACGCATTTTATCGTCCACGCTGCTGTTGCCGCCTGGCTGCCTGCTGCAAGGACAACGAATCGAAGCATATCCGCAGTCGCATCCACATCCTCGATGGCTGCTTGTCATCATCAAGAACAGGCGATGCCAATGCAGTAAAAAAGAATCTAATTTAGTGCGCGGTTTGCATACAAATTCCTTGCTTCATGTTTACGTGACAATGTCAGCTTATATATGTCATATACGTATTATATGTGTGCGTGTGTGTGTGTGTCAATTGGCAATTGATGTCACGATAAACATTGATTTGCCACAAAGAGAAAAAAACCTATTTGGTCTATGCATATTTTATTAATTGTTCTGTCGCAACATCTTCGAGTTGCGCAATTTAATCAAAATTTTCGAAATTCGCATTTAAAGTTTTTAATGACTTTTCAAACTTGGCTGAAAACGAAGCCAGCAATTACTGTTTGTTGTTGCTGTTGTTGTTTGTTTGCTTGTTTGTTGCAGCTGTTTGTCTGTTGCATATGCAAACGGCATTTGGGAGTTGCTAACAAAATGCAAACCGCTAATCGCGTTACACAAAACTTTCTACTGCCAAAGGAGCGCCTGGCAATCGAGTGCGAAATTCCGCATACGCCACGTGTGACACACGTGTCTAGGTGTGCGTGTGTGCCTGGCAAAGCGTTCAAGTCATTTCCGCTTAAGCAGTCAGCCAAAGCCTTCTAACTAGCAGCCAGACTCGCGCTGACATGACAGCCGCGTGCTGTTGCATGCCGCAAAATGTTGCTCAGAAACCGACTTAAATACAAACAAACATGGCCGCCATTGGCGACCAGCAGCGACAGCGACGACCAGTGTGGGGCAACGCCTAAAACCGGAAACCGGAAATTTAAAGCTATGCCAAGCAAATGAAGCGAACTTTTGCCCAATGCCACGTTTTATTTGTTGTTGTTTGGCTGACTGTTGCCAGGCATTTTGTTTGTTGCTATTGTTGTTGTTGTCAGACACTGCGGACAGCTGCACGTTGCATTGTGCAAAAGTTTAATTACAAATTCGCTGCAATTTCTTTTGCAATTGCTACAAAAGCGCAAACAACTTTTTTATTGATATTGTTATGGAGTTTTGGCCTTTCAAGTTGTTGATGTTATTGTTATTGTTGCTGCTGTTGCTGCCAATGTCAGATGTCATGTTATGCTGAAGTTATTCTCTCTTTCTTTATTGCCGTCTGCCGTCGGCCGTCTGACGTTTTTAAATGCAAATTGATTACTGACATCGGCCAAAGTTGACGAGCTGCTTTCAGGCGCTAATAGCCAATGTCACATTCGAGCTGGTAATGCGACAAATAAATGTAAACACACACACACACACCCACAGAAGAGAGTTGCGAGAGCTGTCATAAAAGTTATAGCTGCACGTCCCCATCATATTTCAAGTGCTTCTGTTGGTGGCCTCAAGACAAAGCTTTGCTCCTTTATAGTCATATGAAACGCAGCTAGATCTTAATTATCGATAGCTATCATTAATTGTTATCGATGGTTATTGGCTTTACGTTTAGCTATTCATTAAATTTATCGATAATACTGTATATTATTATGCATATTTTAATCATTATCTATCGATATATATTGTTATCGGTTGTTATCGATTGTTATCGGAATTTATCAAACTTATGCACTGCTTTGCTTTGAATGCTCAAAGTGTTTGCAGTCAATTCTCGCAATTATTTTCATCGATAACAATTAATTGATCGATTATAAAATGTTGTTAAGTCACCCATATTTAGTCAGCTCAGACTATTATTTCCTATACGCACATAAAAGTTAGATAGCTAGTTTATTTAAAAAAATGTTATCGATATTTAATGCTAAATAAATTAATCGATTATTATCGATGAATCCTTAGCTAATTGAAGTCAATTTGCTGCCTTATTACACATACTCACAATGAAAACGGATGTATAATTATTGCTGAATCGATAACAATCGAATCTTACCCAGCTTAAATCATGCTCTCTGAGCTGTATTTAAAGTAAAAAGCAAACAATATTCTGCATAACGCATTTCGCGCTTTCACTTAACCGGGCCACGCCAACCATTATACTTCAATGCCACTCAGGCTTTTATATATGTGCATATATGTGATCGATAAACCTCAGGAGACAGCCACGACAGACATCGATATAAAATTGTCATAAATTTCATTTTAACTTTTGTTTTTGTGTTCTGAATAAAAATTGGCGTGCAGAAATGCAGCGTTGAAGTGGAAAGTGCCAAATGCACACACACAAACAAACAAACACACACACACATGCTTGCACATGCCACGCTTTTATGCCTGCCACTGAGTGCGGCATGCAAAAGGCTGCGCCCCATTGTTGCACTCTCTCAACTTTTCCGCATGTGCATGGAAAATTTTATTAGGTATGCAAATGTGTCAACTTTATTTGCGATATTTCGACACATTTCGACACTTGTTGCCATAATGAACTCAGCGTGCAAGCGTGTGTGTGTGGCATGCATACTTCAGTAGCTGAGCAGCACGTAGCTGGCAAACACACACAACTGTTGCACAACTGTTGCCAATGATATGCTAATAAAGGCCGCGAGTCGTGCATGCAAATTGAATTAAACTAAATGACAATTGCAGCTGATAGTTTGAGTGTGCCTATCTGTGTGTGTGTGGCTGTGTGTATGTGTGCATAAATTGCTGCTATTGTTTAAATATTTGCCAACATTATTAACTTAATTCAATTGGATTTCCATTAGAGCCGCACGCACACAACTCAAACTCAGACTGCGAGCTATTTGCACAGCTAAAGGTACGAGATGCCGACCACATCTGTATATATATATATATCTTACTATATATCTTGATATGTATATGTATGTGCATGTAGACTGTCTGGATATCTAGCGTCTAGCTGGCTGGCTGGCTGGCTGGCAAATCAAAGGCCTCTGTCTCTGCATAACATATGCGACTGCCAAAGATGAGGCCTTGTCTCTCTCGGCGTCTGTTGACTTTTGGCAATCGAATTGAATTGCAGCTGCAAATCACACAATAAAATAATTGATTCCATTTGAAATGCACACACAACGTTTGACTTTGGCAGCATGCGGGCCGGCATGCATACATACATATATCCTCACTCGGTTACCCGCTCCAGATGCTGACTGTGCTAAGAGTACAAATTTATTTTCATTGTTTGCACACACGCACACGCACACATACACACACACACATAGAGAGTGAGAGAGAGATGATGACGACTGAAGTGCATCCTTTACGAATTGCCACTGGTTTATTGATAAGCGGCAGTCCTTATTCAGGCCTCCTTGCTGGCGGCCAGGGACAGCTCCTTGCGTGTCTTGCGGCGCATACGCAAGTTGGATATCAAACGCACCGTACAGAAATAGACCAGCTCCACAATGCTCAATGTGGATACGCCCATGAAGAGACCCAGCAGACCCCCACAGTTGGCCAAAAAGTCGGTGGTGCCATAGAGCTCAGAGCGACGTGAGGTCAGGAACTGCGCCTCCTTGAAGAATATGGAAACGCGCGACATTTTCATGCTGTAAAAAAGACGAAAGTTCATATTTGTCTGTCTTTGTGGAGCTCAAGTTCTAATCGTACCCCTCGCGCTTAGTCTCCGCATCACCTCCCGATTTGTCCTTGTTGGCAACTGTTTTGTAGTCGAAATCTGCCTGTGATATCTCCGCCTCATAGGCAATCGAGGTGCAGGAGGGCAAACAGTTGCAGTCCGTTTGGCCGCGTACATTCTCGGCCTCGGTGACCAAGCCCTGCTCGAACTCCTTGAGCAGCAGCTCGTCCTCAGCCTCGTTATAGCAGCTCAACTTGCCGAGTCCACAAACGGGCACATTTACATTGTCTGGTGGGCGGAATGTTAGTCTAACAAATCAGTGGAAAAGTCGAGCCGAAACTCACGCGGCATAGAGAACTTAACACAGCCGCACTTGGCGAGCGTGAAATTTGCCAGACACTCCAGCTCACAGTTGGTCTGCGAGTAGATATTGAAGTAGCGCAGATGCCGCTCTGACTGGAAGTAGCACTGCCGCCTGTGCGGCTCATAGTGCTTCAGGCCATCCGAGGTGGTGATGATCTTGGGTCGTATGGAAATGAGCACCTCCTGGTCGAAGGGTATGCGAAAGTATTGACGCGATGTCTGCGCCACCTCACCAGGCGTGTGCAGCAGTATCTAAAGCGAGAGCCATATCAACCGGGAGCTCTTGTGAGAGCCTCACTGAATATCCTACCTTAAAGCCCTGCACGGGTCCACGGCACATATCATCAAAGTCCTCCTCGATGCCGCCCATAAACAAATACAAGCCCGCCTTGGCGCCAGGGCCTAACACACGATGCGGATAGGTCTCTGTGTTAGCACTGAGGCTGTACCCATCCTCCACATTCCACTCGGTGGTGAAGCGGTTCTCCTCGCGAAATATGATATCGGATATGATGCTGCACAGACCGAGAGACCGAGACTTAGCTTGGCTCGAACTTGGCCCATTTGTTAAGACTTACCCCTCGGCTCGATAGATCTCAGCTGGACTCAGCGCATTGAAGCTGTAGCAGACGCCATCCTCAGTAACGAACTTGTGAAAGATCTCCTTGCACTTGATGGGCGAATTGCGCCACTTGCAGTCCAAATAGGTGTCATCAAACAAGGGCTTCAAGTCGCTAAGCGTATCAATAATCTCAATGCCCTTGCGTCTGTTTTGGCCCAAAGTGATGTCATGCAGAGGTGGATCGCACACCTGGCTCACAGCATCATAATACAAATGGCTGTGAAGATTTTACTTAGCTTTAGATTAAGCTGAGTTAGGTCTAAGAGAGCATAGAAGCTGCTCCTCTCCTCTCCTTCAACTCAGTAACTACAATATCTACTTAATACCTGGATAAATTATCTCCCAGATACTCACTCGTAGTCATTAAAGTCACTAACTCCGCTGACATTATTGGCAAAGTCGCGTATGCGCCAATAGGCGTCGGTAAAGTTGAATTTGGTCTGACGCGACTTGTTTTCCGGGCAGACGGTGACGGTGGGGAAGGGTATCTGCCAGACGGGCGTCGACTTCTCGGCAAAGCTGACAATTACCGGATTGTTGTTCCACTTGTCCCAGATGTTCATGGTCAGCTTGAAGCAGGTGAAAATCGAGAGCAGAAACACACTGACCCAAAACAGACGCTCCAGCCACGGCCGCTTCTTCTCGCCCAGATACCGGATGCCGTGAATCGTGCTGTAGTCGCAGTACTCATGGATGATGGCCTTGGCTGCTTGGAAGCCGCTGCCATATTTGATCTGCTGCTTGGTGTCCACCTCGTCTTCGCTGTCATCCGAATTGGTCTCGCGACAGGCCGACGCCGCTTTGGCCATCAAAGCGGCGCGCTTCCACTGGTTCGACGTGGCCAACGGGCCTATGTTGAGCACCCTGGGCACCTCCAGTCCATTGACGGGCGTCTGCGGCTCTGTGCTATTCGACGACATGACCGAGTCCGAGTTCGTTGACAAAGTCAGGCAAGCGCCCGCCAGCGGCTCACCTTATATAGCTGGCGAGCGTTGCCTCATTATGGCCACTGGGGTGCTACGCGGTCACCCTCCAAGGAATTGCTCATAAGCGCACGCAGCTGCCACATCACGCATACGCCGTGTGAAACCTACGTAAGTGCAAATGGTGTGAAATGCTATAGTTGACGCTAGTTTTTTGCTGGCTTTTATTGTTGTTGTTGTTGTTTTTTTTTTGGTGGCATTTCAATTAGTTCCATTGGCCAAGCTGTCGTAATTTGCGAGCTGCACGCGTTGGCACGGTCCCCAGCCAATGGGAGCTGCCAGTCGTAATTTGAACTGGCTAAATGTTACCTTTGCGGCATCCGCATACCTGGAACTCGGCACTGGGCGAGGCATTCTAATTAGCTTTAAGTTGCGCCCAGCCCTGGTCAAATTGAATAGCGGCTGCTGTGCAAGTGGCGTCGCCCCATGTTCTCCATGTCCAAAGCTCATGCATTTTAAATCCAGGAGTCAACCGCAGACGCTTAACTCGACCTCGAAACGGAAACGGAAACAGAAACTAAGCGAGCGGCACACGTTGCAGACCATGTCGCGCTGCAGCTGGCAATAAAGATTTCTGTCCTTGTTGTTGTTGTTGTTTTTTTTTCTACTTTCGGGTGCTGTCCTGCGGCAAGGACACAACACAACACGTTGCGAGCCATTTTAATAAAGTTAACTGCATTTTGGCATTGTGTACCCAAAAGTTTGTCAAGCAGCAAGTGGAAGTGTGGGGTGCAGCTGCTGGAGTGGCTCGCCTCACCTTTTGTTGGCGCTTTTCATTAACGTGCGCTTCGCTTTCAGCAATGTTTGCAGTGTCCTTGTTGTGCCTGTGTGTTGCAGTTGATCATCATTTATTTTAATGAGCTTTTCCAAAATAGAATTTCAAATGCGCACAGAGAACTTTCACTCGCTTCAAGTTAAAACAACTCGATTTTATAATATTCATTTATTAAATACATTTTTTGTTACTGCCTGTTTACATGTTTAGCTGGAGGACACTGAATTGAATGTTGTTACTGTTAACAATAATTTTTATATATATATATAAACTATTTACACAGCAGCTACATTCGATATAGTACATATGTATGTGTGTGTGTCTGTATATGTGTGTGTTTGTATTTTAATATTAAATATTAATTCATTTATGTAAGTTTTAAGCCTTCTTCTTCCTTTTTTTGTAGGGAACTTTTGCCAAAGGTTCTCGATTTTGTTTATGAAACACCTGTTTTTCACTATGCTACATTTGATACACATGGTACGTATTTTGAATAATAATATTGGTTGGCTTGTTAAGTGTATATATCGATATATATATACATATATATATATATATATATATATCTAATAAATATTAGTTTAATTTTGCTGTCATATATAAAATATAAGTTTTGGGTTTATTCTGTCAGCTAATTATAATTGAGTAATTTGCTTTTCATTTAACTGTTATCTATCTGCTGTTAGCTGTTATCTGTTATCTGTTATCTATGTACAAAGCTCTTTTTTAAGGACTGTAATGCGCTGCTTGACCTTCTTTTTACCTTTTTTTTACCTATATGTTCTCATATGCAGTTTTGAAACCCAAAAATATGCTAAGCAAAACAAAATACAGACACGATAAGCAATATATATATAATTATATATATCTTATATATAGTACATAGTTTTATATATTATTTAATTAGTTATATTTGTTATAGCTACTGTAATACCTAGTTGCCTAGTTAAAATGATATGTTTTGCTGTAATTTACGTTCATTTCAATTTTAATTTTATCTTTATTTTTTTTTATTTTTTTTTTATTTTGTTTAAACTTTTTGAGTTTAAGTCTAGTACAAAAATACTGAATAAATTGCACTTGCATCGCACACACGATTACATTCTCAATACACAAAAGCCACAAGCAATTCGAGTATTTTAAATACTCTTCGAACACCCCTCTCTCTCTCTCTCTCTCTCTCTCTCTCTCTCTCTCTATCTCTTGCTCCGCTCATATTTAGCCACACTTTTGATTCTGCTTCAGTCCAGTTAGCCGCTGACAGTCGACTTATTGCGGAGCCAGCGCCAAGCTGAGCCCATTCGACATCAGACTCAAGGCGTTCGCAGTGGGCGTGGCTGTAGCAGCAGCAGCCTCCTGTAAAGAGAGCAAGCGCATAATACCAAAAGTTAAGATTTGTTCTGTTAGATGAGAAAGTATCCGACTAGCAGCTACCCTGCTTCAGGTACGTATTTCTATCTCTATAATTTGTGGTTTACTCTGCATATATATCTTTATCTAACATCGCTCTAGCTCATACTTACAATGCTCAGGGTGCGCACAATGCAGGCGCGCGTTGCTGGCGGCTCGTCCGACTCCAAGCCGGGCGAGCTGCCACGCGAGGACACGGAACCGTTAATCAGCTTGATATTCACATTGAGGTCATCCGAGTGATGGGTCTGCGAGCTACTGGACAGGCGTCCATCCAGCGACAGATCATCTCGCTGCTGATCCTGCAAGGAGAAAAGTGTCTCTTTAGCTACAGCAAATCTGGTAGCAATTGGTGACGCACCTCCTTGGGACTGGCACAGAGGCCGAACTTGATGTCCATGCAATTGGTCTCGGTATCGCTGCCGCTGACGTGGCCGTCGTTCGCGACCACAGCTGCGACGCCGGCAGCGGCAGTGGTAGCGGCATCGGCGTCAACGTCAGCGTCAGCAGCAACATCCATGGCAGTGGCAGCAGCAATGTTGCTGCTGTTGTTGTTGTTGTTGTTACTGTGGACTATGGGCGAGATGTGCCCATTGATGTTGTTGTTGATGTTTGTGTTGTTGTTGTTGTTGTTATTGTTGCTAATTTTGTTATTGTTATTTGGCTCCTTGTTAAGTGTTGCTGACGTTGGCATGTGCTTTGTTATGGCTGCTGCCTCATCATCGGCAACAGTTGCAGCTGCAGCTGCAGCAGCAGCAGTAACATGTCCATTGGCTGCAATTGCTGCAGTTGCATCGCTGGGGCTGCGATTGCCGTTGGTTGCCGTTGAATTGGCGACCTCATCGCCCAGCTCGTAAATGTTAACCATGTGTGCGGCCTGTGCGTGGACCATCAAGTCCCAGGGATTGGCGAACGCATCCTTGCAAACGGCGCAAAGCAATTTGGCGCTCGTTGGCGGCGTCTCTACGATTGTGTGTGTGTGTGCGTGGATGAAACATGCAAGAATTAATTAGTTATTTAAGTTGGGTCTGGGCCGGGCTAAGTCGCATAAATAACTCAATTTTAAATGAAACGCCAGACAGATGTTGCTGACTTGCAGCAGCGAAGCCTCCCCTTGGACGGCGCACACATGGACAGAACGCAAAATGTGTTTAACAATCATAAATTAATTGCCGACATAGCCAGTCACGCCCCCCGCCCAGCTGAGTGTAAAGTGTAAAGAATCGTAAGACTTACTCGCTGCAAAGGCCACATCCTGGCACTTGCATGTGAACCTCAGCTTGCAGTAACTTTTCTTGTGGTCCAATAACTCAGACAGCTCACTGAAGCATTCCCGGCAATTGCCGCAGATTAATGTGTCCGGATTGCCTACAATAGAAACAGAATATGCCCCATAAAATATGGACTTTAATGCAATTATTTACATGCGCCAGCTAAAAATAACAATGATGCAACTAGCATGGCTATAAGCAAAGTGAGAACTACATTCTATAAATGCAGCTGCAGCTATACCAGAGGAGAATATGAGCTTATAAGACAGCTAGAAATGTATCCTCTTGTTAAAGTTCTTGCCACCAACTGTAGAATATCGAGTCGTTCTGCTTGACCTGTATACCTAACATAAACAGCTTAGCTTACAATGAGCTTGAGTAACTATGTATTAAGCTTGCAATGAGCTTGAGCATTAGCATAAAGTTTGACAAGTACTTGACACACACTTTAATAGACAAATTTACTAGCAGCGCTAGGCACATAGCTGTACAGAACAAGAGTCAAAGCTTACAATGAGCTTCGATACTTATGCGCTTGATAAATTTGTTGCTAATAATTTTGCTATCAACTTAAGATACATTTTCCATCATGCAGAAGTTAACAAAGAAGTTAAAAATTTATGCTCTTGCTAAATTTGTTACAATGAAGTTTATCAGCTACTTGAAATTGCCTACAGACAAGGCTCTATAATTGTATATGGGCTGAGGAATCTCTTCACTTGTCAAACTTTTCAGCATTCAATTGTTAAGTTCTAAGCTGTCTAACTACTTGTGTTCAGTTATAAAATATATATATATATATAATGATCGCGTATAAAAATTGATTAGTGTGATATCCTGAAGGGCCACAGTTTGGTCTTCGCCTGCAGCACTTGCTTTCTGTTGACTGAGCCTCTTTGCCTGCGCGACTTCTGCAGCTCACATTTTCTTCCCTTATTGAAATTCATATCATTAAGCTGTCGCACCTGCCTGAAATTCTCCTTACCATGCTGCTTACAATATTGCAACCAGGTGGCAATTGCATCAATGCGCAGATTTGCCTCTGCATCGCTTTTTGCAGCTCGATTCATTTGCCTCTGCTCGACTTTTTTTAATTTTGGCGAGGACTTGGTGCAACAGGGTAACTTAGCCTTGCTCTTGGTTGGCTTTGTGGCTGGCGCTGGGCTTCTAGTTGACTGTGGCCTCGTTTGTTGCCCTGCTGCCACGGTGCTCTTCGGCTGAACAGTCGTTTTCGTTAGGCTTGAGTTGGTGTCCACGCGTATGGTCAATGACGGAGCTTGTGTGGTGGCTGCTGTTGTTTTTCTGTTCTCGCTTGGCGCTCTTGGCGTCGTGTTGTCACATTCATCTTCATCATCATCTGCTTCCGTTGTTGCACAGTCTTCGGGACATGCTTCCTCTTGCTCAGTTGCCGGATCAGGCGGCAACAGTGGCGTTACATTCGAGCGCAGTTGTTGCTGTTGCCCCTTTTTCTGCTTCTGTCCCAGACTGTCAGCTAGCTGCTGCAGCAATTGCATTTTGGTTTCATAATTTGACTCGGCATCCGTTTGCGAATCCCGCAAGGCCAGCTCTTGTTTCATGAACAGTGGCTGTGGCTGATTGCCTGAAGACTGCGCCGCCAATTGCTCGAATTGCGTTTTAACTGGCTCAAGCAGTTGCTGCTGCTGCTGCGGTTGCGGCTGTGGCGGCTCCTGTTGAGGCACTCCTGAGGAGACTTGTGCTGCCAGCTGCAATTGCCGCTGTTGCAGCTGATTATTCTGCTGCTGCAAATCTACTTCCAGCTGCTTTAGCTGCTGATGTAGCTGATCTGCAGCCAGCTCGCGCGGAGTCGAGTTCTTCATATCACGATAATTCTGCTGTTGGCTAAGGGCAGGCCACACCTGCAGCCTGTTAGCCAACAAGCGCCTCTTCAAGCTCATCACTCCGTTTAGGTAGCCCATCGGCAATTGATGCGGCTGCTGCAGCTCTGCAAATGAATAAATTTGCTGCGAATTCGAGTGCAATGGCGCCGCTGCCTCGCCGGCTGCTATGACTCGATGCAGGCTAGCCATGATCAGGACGAGTCGACACATATTGGCGCCGCGTCCCTGACTTGCACACATTTTTCTTATTCAGAGACACGAGCAACACAGTTTTTGACAAGCTTAACAAAGCTGGGAATAGCTCAAACTTATGACTCTTAGCAGTTGATTGACTAGAATATACCCGGCAACTTAAATATTGTGTCAGCAGTGCTGTTTGGCTTTGTCTTTATCAAATGGTAGCAAAGTCTAGCTGCATCTCAGCTTCTTCAGATACATGGCATGGCTAAAAGATACCCTGTATTTGGAAATTAAGTGCTGCTGTAACTATTTGCCTTATTAATACTGCCTGATGGTAGAGTCCACTTGTTATGCTGCTGCCTTAACCCATTGCCCGACTTAAGTATACCCTATATTTTCTATAGCATGTTAGCTGAGCTCAATTGCTTTGTGTTTAGTGAGTGAAAAAGTAGCTAGTTGTCATACTACTTCATCAGAGCCATTGCATGACTTAAGTATACCCTGTATTTTTATTATTTCACCCTGTTCCAGGCACTTCCAATATGCAGGGTATATTTTAGTCAAATAATGTTATCCGAGCTCTAACACACATTTAGTTATACACATCTAATTTTTATCAAGTCACTTTTTCACTCATATTCCAAGCACTTTCCACGCCTCACAGTGAAATTCTTTCTAAATTCTGGACTTTATCCTATTCCTAGTTATAGTTTACTCGCAGCTCAGCAAGCTTTTCTAACTTATTGTTAATCAATGCATAAATCTTAAATTGCCAATGCGAATGGCCAACCGAAAAATGGCCAATGCAAACAAATCAAGTCAATACTCACTGTAGACTTTGAATGGTCCCCAGTGTTGATGCAAGCTTAATTGCTCCTGTGCATGTTGCTGCTGCTGCTGCTGCTGCTGTTGATGTTGATGTTGATGCTGCTGTAGTTGCTGATGTTGTTGCTGTTGTTGTTGTTGGTGTTGCTGTTGATGCTGTTGCTGCATCATTTGGCTGTGCAATTGTAGCGGCTGCGGTTGCTGTGGGGACAATGCCAAAGTCAATGGCTGCAGCAGGCAGCCCAATTGTTGTTGCTGCTGCTGCTGCTGTTGTTGCTGTTGTTGCTGGTGATGCGACGGCTGCTGGGAAAAGGCACCGTACTGCTCCACGAGAGCTGTTTGATTAGCAATTATTGCTGACTTTGCATTCTGTGGCGAAGTCGTTGACTGCCCGGCAATAACGCTCTTCAACTGGAAACCTGTGGCAGCTGCAACAAATTGCTGTTGCTGCTGCTGCTGCTGTTGTTGCTGCTGCTGTTGTTGTTGTTGCTGTTGATGTTGCTGTGGGTCCTGTTTGTATTGTGACCAGTGCAGGGCACCGGGCGCCGCTGTTGTTGCTGCCGCTGCTGCTGCTGCTGTCGATAGCAAATTTTGCTGATGCAGCAACAGCTGCTGCTGTGGCAACAAATTGGCCATGGCAGCCATAGCAACAGCTGCAACTTGCTGCTGATGATGATGATGATGTTGCTGCTGTTGCTGCTGCTGCTGCTGCTGTTGCTGTTGCTGCTGTTGCTGGTGCTGCTGCTGCTGCTGCTGTACCGCCGCCTGCTGCTGGTGATGAACTGCAGCAGCTGCTGCAGCGGCCACAGCTGCCGCGCTGTGATGATGCTGACTGTGCTGCTGCTGCTGCTGCACTACGGCAGTCAGACCATTGTTGTTGGTCATCAAACGCTTGCGCTTCTTGGCACGCACGCCGTTCACATTGCCGCCGCCTCCGCCGCCTCGCAGCAGCGCCGACGAACAGTAGCTGTCGTAGAAGTAGTCCCTGCAAGCAGTAACAAGTTGTGACAGGCTCATTAGTTGTGCCACAGTAATTGAGACCCAAAAAAAAAAAATAGAAGAAGAAGAGCCAATGTAAACAGCCTGCCAACTGTTGCCTGTCTGTCTGTCTATCTGGCTGACCGAGCGCTAGTCAATATTTGCTTAGGTCTCATTCAGTGACTGTTACTCCCTTTCAATTGCCATTTGGCAATTATGTGCCACGCCCCCCCTCCCATTCTCGTCCACATCCACGCCAGACTGATTGATACAATTTGCAGCCTGCTCTGCCGTTTGCGGTTCAATATTCGAACAGTTTTCATATCGCCTGGACAGGGGCGACAACAATTGTGGCTTTTATGGTCAGTTTGTGTGCGGTCAATGGACTGAGCAGGCATTTAAATGACAAACGCGAGCCCCCTGTAACCACCTGGAGAGCTGTTTGCGTTTTAATTACAATCAAGTCAACCTGTCTCTGTCTCTCTGTGTGTGTGTGTGTGTGTGTGTTGCCCTTTTAAAGCCCTAACGCACTTCCTTTTCGGCGTCATTAAGCTTAAATTAAATATTTCCACACGAGTAGCAAGTCGACATCGAGCCGAAAAAGAAAAATAAAACATATATATATATATATATATATATATATAAATTGTATATGTTGGCTCACTCGCTCAGTCATCATTAAGGCCGCGCCAGGGACAAACAAGTGCACATGTCAGCGCCAGGACTAACAGCCGGAGCCAGAGCCATGGCCAGGATATTATAGCATACATTGCAGCTGTCACTCACAGGCAGTTCCCATTTTTTTTTTCACAGTTTCACATTTTCACAGTTTTTTGCGTGTGTGTGTGCAGCTCTCGAAACAACACACAACTGACCCAGACACAGGCACAGACATCGAGCATCGAGACGTTGACTCAGACGGCAGCGGAGTAGATGTTGGTGTCACAGAAACAAAAAACAAATGGGAAGCTTTATAGTGCCTGACTGCCTAATGCTCGTTCATAATTTAATTTGTTAGAAGCTGAGAGTCTAGCTGGCATATGTGTCTATCTGTAAAAGGAATTTACAGCGCTACAACTGCTTAGCTGCAGTGCTTTTGCCTTGACTTGCCTCCAGAGAACTTTGTCTATATGAGATGGATATGTTTTATGAATATATCTTAGTTGCATATATAGTATATATATATATGAAGTTTCAGGTCTCTAACTCATGCTCTAACTCTCAAAAATGTAGTCATTTGCAGTATTTTCAAATCTGCTCTGCTACTTACTAGTCATTCTATATAGAAGATCTACAGCTAACTACTTACCCAACTTTACCCAACTTTCGTACCCCAAAAGCTAGAGCCAAACTAACAGCAAAGATCCGAGTTGTTAGATTATGGAAGCTAAAGGTCAGAGCTATATCAACTTAGGAATTATTTCAATATTCTAATATTCTAATATATTTTAGAGCTCTAACTTCAAATACATTTTCTGTTCAAAGGCTATTATAAATCCCGTTTCGCTACGTCTGCAAAAAGCTTATCCAAAAGATCTGAGCATTTTATCAAGCCAAAAGCAAGACCAATCGTCTCTAGCCACAATTGCTTAGCCATGACAGGCCGTTGCAGACACCAACCCCAAGCTAATACACCCTGTCTACGCTTCACGAACGTGCAGAAAAACTCTCTCGCATAGCGTTGACAGAGCCAAATATATTTTATGTGATGTGTGGCAGCAGCAAAGGATACGAATACGAATGCGAATACGTCCATGTCCATGTCCCTGTCCCTGTCCATGTGCTGATGGATGGCGCCTTATTTATTTATTTATTTGTGCGGCTATCGCCCACCCGAAAACAAATAATAAAACAAAAGAAACTTTGGGCCTAGTCCCACGTTAAATGATATGTAAATAATTTCTAAATGAGCGTCAGATGGCATTCAATTGAGCCAAAGACTTGCATTTGTTTAAATTAAAATTGTGCTCAAGCATGAAATTGTTTTTATAATTTTCTTTCTTTTTTTTTTTGTTGTTGTTGTTTCACTTACCAATCGTTACCCGTTTTGCTGACATTCTGACGTTTTCTGCCAATTTGATGCGCCTTCGGCTCGGCCACCATGTTGACATCTGCAAGAAGAAGCACGAAATGAACAACAAATATAGATAAATAACTCGCCCGCCCATTATCAGCCAAGCAACAATGCCAAATCGGCTTTCAGTTAAAAACAAAACATTTTCCTGCTGCCTTTGAAGTGCTAAGTAAAGCAAAGACAATGCCATTTCGGGTTTCTATTATGTTTACATAGTCTGTCTACTTTTCCTCTTGTTGTTGTTTTTTCATTATGCAAATGTTGGGCTCTAAGTGATTAAAAAATATCTTAGAGTGTGTGTGTGTGTGTGCATTTGGCTGTCCAACTGCAGCGATAATAATTTAATCTGACTTAGCATCATTAATCTTAATAAAACAAAGCATGGAAAATGAAGTTAACAGCGGAATAAGATGGGGACAGATTTTGTAAGCAAGAAAGGCAGCAAAAAAGTTTTCTAAAGCCAAAACAGAATGCTCTAACAAAGAGCGACTGGAACGTGTGGAAATTTTAAATATAAACTGGGATTTGAACCATGAATTGGAGACTCTGAAGAGGAAGAAAGCATTACAAAACTGTTGCCTGTTGAGACGATAGAAAAATCAAATCAATTTTTAGTTGGCTTCTTAAGTAGTGAAAAGCTGTGTCATAATATCTAAAAATAATACCTAAGAATATGATTTCAGTAGATTTAATTGAAATTCAAAAATTCTCATATAACAAACATATATGAAAGGCGAAAAAAATGCTTAAAAAATATAAATTTTTCAAGCTAAAATTCAATCGCATCAAACTGAAGCAATACAAATTATTTAAAATATTTAACTGCAATTTTTCATAAAATAATCAATAACAAATAAAAGTTGAACTAATTAATTAAGCACATATATGTGCTCCCCGCTCATGTCTCTCATTCCATATCAGTTCATGCAGACAACAGTTCATAAATATGTTTCACGCTGCTCGCTGCTGTAGCCTGTCTCCTACCTAAATCTAAGGCTGAAATCGTGCCCGAATGCATTAAACATTTCATTTTTCAATGAAAAGGGTGCGACGCGAAATGTTTGGCTCTGTTTTTTTTTTGTTCTCCGCTCGGATTTGGTTTTGGTATTTTTGTGGCAAGAGTCGTGGGGCGCGCGCTCGTTCATCATAATTCATGACAAAGTTTGAAGTGCGCCGCAGGGCGGCCCAAAAAGAAAGAGGAGAGACAAGCCTCGAAGTGGGCGGTGGGCGGTGGGCGGTGGGCGTGCTGTGAGCCAGTTGCTATAACTACAAATTACTGGACGTTGGGGCTGTGGCTGCTTTACATATTTTTTTGCTTCTGCTGCTCCCTTTTTTGTTGCCTTTGCTCAAGCATTTCTTCAGCTTGTCTGCTCGGCTGGCACTGCTGGCAGGCAATAATTAAGATTAAGGATAAAAGCATAAGAAGGATTTGAAAAAGGCATGGCCACAGTGCTACAAATCGGTTTAGCGCAAGTCAGCCACTGGCCAGCCCCGAGCCCCACGCCGCATTGCACAAAAGTCAATGGCGCGTAGCACAGTGAGATATTACACTGTGCTTTTGCTATTATTTGTATTATTTTTATTTAGCATTTTAAAGCCGGCTCTAATCAGCGGAAATTAGCATTGCTGCAGCATTTGCATAAGCGCAAGCAAATGCTTTTTATGTGTGCGCGCTGTAAAAGTTTTTCATTGCTCGCCGACGGGGCGTATGAATATGACAGCATCCGCATACGCAGCGTTGTCAGCGCCGTCGACTGACATTGCGCGCTAAGTGCATTAAGCTGTTTTCTTCACACGAGACACGCATGAAAGAATGCCAAGGATTCACTACTCTCTGCTCTGCTCCCAACGCCGTCTGCCTCTCTCAGTTTGCCCTGTTGCACTGCAGCTGCAAGTGACGCGGCTTGAAATTTCATTAAGCGTTTAAATTAAATCGACAAACAGTCAGTTGTCAGCCAGTCAGTCAGTCTGTCAGGCTGTCAGGTAGACAGACACCTACACACACACTCACACACCTCTGGCACTCTCAACATTGAAATTTCATTAAAAGTATCGCAAGAGAATTTATGTTTGGCCGCACTTTAAGCTGCGGCCTGCAGCGACTTCCGTTGCACAAAATACGCAGACAGCCTAAGATATGGCTGCTACACATGCCAGCTCTGAGGCTAGAGCTGCTAGCTCCTATTGCTCTATTGCTCCGGTCTCTTTCTTTTTTCGCGCGCTCTTGTTCGATTTTAGTGCTGCGCTTCCGGCAGCCGTGGGGCCATTAACCCGACGGGCCAACCGCATCGGACATGCAACTATGCGAGGGTTAAGGTCTGCCATGTCTATGCAAAACAAAACGCCCCGACACAGACCCCAAGCCAGCGATTTACTGGCCAACCTCAGCTGAGCGATATAAAAGATAGAATATTTCAAGTGCCTTTTGTGTGTGCAAAGGTTCCTTCTGATTATGTAACACATAGTGGAGCTTAAAGGGAATCTTAATATGAAGTTGCCAGGAAAATATTGTAGTCAACGGAATATCGATCGAGTTTGAGCTACAGAGTCAAGACTCTTGGAATAGAAATTAAAAGAAAAGTTTCTAATTTCATCTGATAACAAAATCTAAAGACTTTTTAAATGAAATGCAAAATTAAAACTAAAAATTAAACTATAAAAATAATAATATTAATAATAGCTATGACAGCTTTAAGTCTAAGAGCACTTTCTAAACTCAAGTTTTGATTTGAATAATAACTTGAAAAATTGCAAAACTTTGCATATTCGAATTTAAATTTAGACTCAAGCTTGATTTTAAGCCAAGAGCAAGTAGGAGTACTGTAGTCGGGAGTTCTCGACTAGAAACTAAACGGAACCATGAGAAAACTAGTAGCAGTAGTAACTAGTAGTAAGTGGGCAAGATATGCTCTATTCATTATGTTAGGAAACCACAGAGAAAACTGTATCTCTATCTTTTATGGTATTTAAATTAGGCTAAAAAACGAAAGAAAATGATCGATTCTTATCGATAATTAGGCATGAATTATCATTGAAAATAACTAATGATTAGCTGCATAAGCTTTAGCTCTTCAGGCTTACGAGATCGCTTAGACAGACTGACGGGTAGCTGGAAAGACGGAAAGACGGATGGATCACCTGTCGGGCAGACACATCGTCTCAGCATGTAGCTCTGATTCTATGCTTTATGGGTTCTGTCACAGCTTCTAACTCTGCGCTCAGGTTATCAACGCTAGCTCAGATAGAAATCAGTTAAAGGCAGTTTGAAGTCTAGAAAAATTTCCAGCTCAGATTAAATCTCAAAGACAAATTCAAATGCATTTGCATTCATAAATAAATATGTTTATTTTTTATTTTATTTTTTTTTTGTAAAAAGAAAAGTGACTCACCTAAGGTCTGACTGAGCACCGTCTTGCCGTCCTCGCCGTGACAGGCGTTGCGCGCATCGAAGGGATTGGTGAACTGCACAAAGGCGTAGCCCTTGTGCATCGAGATACCTGCAGGCGGAGATAGAGAGACAGGTGTATAGCTGGCGTATGGAGTGCTGTTGGTGTTGGTGTTGGCTGACTCACCTGCCAAGCGGCCATAGATCTGAAACATGCGCTCCACATCCGTTTTGGAGCACTGAAATGTATTCAGATTGCCCACAAAGATGCGCGAGTTAACCGCCTGCGGATCCTGCGAGTTCGTCTGGTTGGACAGTTTTGACAGCTTCATTGTCGATGCCGTTGCCAAAGGCGCGGCAACTGACGGTGGCAAGGACGCGGGCAGGGGGCACGACAACGGCAGCGGCAACGGCAACGGCAACGGCGCAGCCGCAGCGCACGTGTGTCCAAAGTACAAGAAAGCAATTCTGGCGGCTGTTGGCGAAAAAAACAACAATCTCTGCTCTGTTTGCGAGGGCTGTTTGATGGCTTAGACTGCGCTTTGTTTATGGTTTTTGCTGCTGCTGCTGCTGCTGCTGTTGTTGTTGTGTGTGGCTGCAGCTTATTGCATTTGGCCTTGGGTCGTGGGCAAAAAGGGATTTGCCGCCGCTGTTATGCGTCTGTTTTTTGTTTGTTGCTTTTCCCGCGCCGATTTTTCACTTTTTAACGTCTGCCGCAGTTTTTTTCTTTAAATCTGCAAACAAATAAGAGCAGCGAAAACGTTGACAATCGCACTTATTTTTTCGCTCAGTGTGGTTGCTGTTGCCATTGTTTGCCACGGCTTAAATATCAATGGGCTTCCCTATATGCGTTGCATGGCATATCGTTTGCCATCTGAGTATTTATATTTCATTCATCCACTGTTTGTGTTTTTATTTTTTTATTTTTTTTTTGCCAATTTAATCTTATTGGCATGCAATTAAAATGCAAAAATGCCCAAATGCAAAAATTCCATTTTAATTGAAAGTCAAATTTACGATTTTTCAAAACCAAAAACCATTGAAAATGATGTAAGCAAAAAATCAACTGAATTGAGACGTTCAAATGAATGAATAAATGAATCTAGATCAAGGGAATGACTCTAGACTAAAGGAATGAAGCTAGTCTGCAATAATATTGCCAAGGAATTAAATGAATAGTTGGGAATGAAGCAAGCAAATCAGGCAAATAAAGAGAGTAAGCCAAAGGCTCTAGACTTGACTGATAGACGAGAGATCTAAGAGATCTAAGCCTTATTTTTAAGCAATGCAAGGGAAGATAGTAAAGAGATTGTTTTATGAGACAGAAAGAAGAAGGCGTGGCAGCACGCATAAACACAAGAAATAAAGCTTTTCTTTTCCTAGTTAGCTAAACTGCACTACAAGCATTTATGAGTTGGTATTTTATACAAATAACATAAATTTATACAATATTTAACACATTTTACATGAATCTTTGTTTCAACGATATCATTGCCATACTCATTTATGTTAAACTTGTTAACGAAGTTTTGTTGTTGCTAAACGTTCATAAATTATAGTTTGCAAAAGCATTCAACTGCAAAAACAACTTATGCCCTGCCAATATAAGAGAGTGCATGCCAGGCAAGAAGCGGCCGACACCATTGGACACCCGCTTTAACACCTATCATCCTGGCCCAACGCCTGACTGCCTTTTTACAGCTATTCACTTGCGGGAGTTTTAGTCGCCATGGCCAAGTGCTAAAAGTGTCTGTGTGTGCGTGTGTGTGTCTCGTATGAGTGTGCGTCTCATATTTATGTTCGTTTGCTTTTACTTGAAACATGTTTTGTGCGTGTTATTAAATTAAATAACTTTTAAATGGCTTACATACAAGCGACAGCACACTCAGCAGCAACAGCAGCAGCAGCAGCAGCAACAACAATGAAGGCGTGTAAAAGTGAAAAATTAAGCGTTTTTATTGCGCTTTTCAATGCTGATCCAAGTTGCTGCTGCTGCTGCTGCTGCTTCTCCTGCTGGCAACATGTGTACAAAATGTACACATGTGTGTGCGTGTGCGTGTGTGGGTGTGTGAGTGCTTTTGCATAGCGCACACAAAAGGCGTCTGCATGAAATAAAAATAACAACAAGCAGCAATAAAAATAAAATACTCTTGTAGCAGCAAATTGTTAATGTGATTTTTATGCAATAGCCGAGGGCAAGCTATGCGTGTGTGTGTCTATATTTATTGCATATTTATGGGCGCAGCAGTTGCCTTTAATTGCACACACTCGCACCTCAAGTCGCAGCCGATTAAAGACTTCGATGCCATCAACTATATTAAAAACAAGAGACAGCCACAGCTACAGCTGCAGCTGCTTTGACAGATACATCTATAGCCAGCATTGTGCGCCAGTTATGAGTGAAAGGCGCTTTATTTATTATAATGGCATGCCTTGCCGCGTCACAGTCAGTCTGTCTGCCTTTCTATTCTCTTGCAGCGCGTTTGTTATCCTGCATTGTCCTGGCAAATGAAGGATTGTCGCCGCTTGCGGCCTTTTTTTTTTGTGTTTTTGTTTTTGCATAACAGCTCGCAGCTCGCAGCTTGCTTGCTTCATTGTTGCAGCCACATGCCACATGCCACAAGCCAAATCCAAAGCCGTATTGAATAACCGTTGAATATGCAACACTTTTTTGGCCTACTTTTCTGACACCTCCCGCCCGTTCTCTCCCTCGCGCTCTCTGGCTTTTTTAATGAACGCGCTGCTTTAATTAAAGTCAACAACAGCAACAGCTGACAAATTTAAATTGCATAAACATAAAGCCAAGAACAACAGCAACAACAACAACTGCCACGCCCCTTGCAAGTGGCAGGCAAGTGCTTAGTTAACTCGTCTTAATTATAATTAACTGCACTGCTGAGCGCTGCACTCAAAAAAAAACTAAATGTGTGTTGCGTGTGTGTTGCGTGTGTGTGTGTTAACATCTCGTCTGTTAACCCGGCAGCCAGGCAAGTTCAGCCACAAGAAATTGTTCAGGAAATTGCCGTAATTCTTTGCTCCCACAACTTCAAACTCTCTGTCTCTACCTCTCTCCCTCTGGCTCACTCTCGCTCCGTTTCGCTGCTTAGGCTGGCTGTGCACTTCTTTTTCCAGCTGCCTGACTGCTAAAGTAAATTAAGATGCCGAGCGTAAAGTAAAAAGTCGTCGCGGCTAAACTTGAAAAACGCCAATTCAACAGCTCAACTCGCACATGTGCTTTGTAGTTGAGTGTGAGCAGAGAGTGGGGCATATGCGACTGTTGTATGCGCTGTCAATAATACAAATTAATTGATTTGCTTATAAAAATAATCTGTAAAAATATAAAAAAAATGCTAAAAAATAAAAATATTTGATAAACAAATAAAAAAATATTTATTCACACAAAAAATGCATTAATTGTATTTAAGAATCAAATAATAATAACATATAATATTATAATTAATTATGAAAATTATAAAAAAAATATTTTAATTGTAAAAAAAAATAATTTGTAAGCAAATAAATTAAAAATAAAAATAAAAATAAAACAATAATAATTGTATCTAAAAGTATAAAAAAATATGTTTAACATTAAAAATATTTTTTTATTTTTATTGCTTTTATATTTTATTTATTTATTTACAATAAATCGCAAAAATAAATTGTTAAGGATATTTATTAATGAATAGCTTAGCCTGAACAGGGAAAAGTACTTAGCTCCATAAGAATAGAACGTATTAAATGCTGTTTGACGTGGAGCAGTGCAATTACCGACGGCTGGCAATATCCTGGGCAAGGATGCTTAATGCGCCGCATTGTCTATGGCTTAAAGGCGTAAGGGACGGGACTGTACCTTAAAGTAGCTTATTTTAAAGCAACTTTTTGTTTTTATTGACTTTGGCGTTGTGCTAAATAATGCAACAGGCCATTAAATGGAAAAATAGCTGTTGAATAGCCAACCAGCCAAACAGTGGGGCAGCTAGCTCTCTTGTCTCTGTGCTGGATTATCGTGCGATCAAATGTCAAAGGACACATTTCGTCCTGCTGCTATTTACTGCCCACAAATATGGGCGGCAGATATCATTTTTTTGTCTGCTCTCCTCATTTTTTTACCACATGTATGTTTAACTTTTCATTTCAAATTGCTTGAGGGCTGCCTTTTTATACCACCTACAGCCCCCCCTCTAATAGACGACATAGAATTGAATAGATGCTGGAACCATTCAAAGCCAAAAAGTCAACAAAGCATGACTCGTGCTAGAATAGAGCGACAAATAACCCCAATTGAAGGGAGGCTGCCACAAAACTGATGATGAAGATGTGAGTGTGAGTGAGAGTGTGTGTGGGAGTGTGTGTGGGAGTGTGTGTGGGAGTGTGTGTGGGAGTGTGTGGGCGTGTATTGACAGGCCGACTTCAACAACTTTATTCATAAGCAGCGCAGACAGAAAACGTGACCCCAAAGCAAACCAAACAAATGCGGGCCAAACTATGCAGCCCGCCTAACAACTCTCTACACACACACACATACATACATACATATATATCTATATAGAATATCTGGAGTGCTTATATATGTGTGCATATGGTCAACATTCAGAGCTGTCTTGCACGTCTGCGGGCGATAACTCAGTTGAGTTTATGGCCAGCGCCTCGGCGTATGCAACAAATTTTTTTAAAAATAAAAAATAAAAATGCTGCGACGTTGTCGATAAGCAGGAAACGTGTCAGAGATTGTCCTCGTTTGTTGTTGTTGCTTTTGTCGATGTTGTTGTTCGCTTATGCTGTTAATTTATTGTAATGCGCAAAGCAATTTGCACAGAAAGAGAGAAAAAATATATGTATTAAGTGCCAACTATTTGCATAAATAACAAGAAATTAATAACAAACACACGGCGCCATGGCAGCAGCCGCATAAAAGTTAATAATTGCTGCATGTCAACAGTGGGCGGCGGCGGAAAGAGGAGGCGTGGCCAGCACACACACATGTGGCATATAAATGAAATATATATATATAGTATGTATTTACAGAAATAATAAAAGTGCCAGCAAGCCGAGTGAAATGACACTTTATCACTTGACAGTAAATGCGTTTTATTGCGCTACTCATTAAACAAAATTTAATTTGCAAACGGAATTGAGCAACTGCATTGAATGAGTGTTAAATAAATTTCAATTCACCTTGAATATTGCAAGAGAGAACTGAAAAGATTTTTTTAGACATTTATGCTCGCATAATTTACAGTGGAGTCAAACAATATAGGCATACCTTTCAATACAACATACATACGTATGTATCTTGTTATGGCTTGAATTTAAGTGGATAATAATTACTCGCAGCCAACTTCAAGTCATTCAGAGCCTATACTGGCATACATTACAGTGCAGTGAAACATTATAGGTAAGCGTTAACAATTTAATATAGGCTGCATTTAAGGAGATTACATATTTGGGAACACATGTGAATGCGAATGCTCATGCTCATGCTCGCATTACCGTTAGCTCGGATTTCATTTCATTTCATTCAGTTGTTCATACATACATACGCATATACACACGCATACATCACAGTTAAAGTGTTAAATTTATTGTTGGTCTGCAGTCATGCGGCTTATATTTGTTTTTCGCATGGGCTCTGCAGCGACAGTGAAGGCAACGGTTCACATTGCGGTTCTTTAGCTGCGCATTCATTCATTATGTATGTGTGTGTGTGTGTGGCCATAAAAATGGCGTTTGTTTTGCATTTCTCTTCCTCTCTTGCTCTTTGGCTTGCAACAACAATTATGAATAACTCCCACTGTTCGTTAATGGTGCCAACTGCTGTGGCAAATTGTGGGCGTGGCGTGTTATGCACTCATATTTACGGTAAAATATATGCATATATGTATATATATCACTTTGCCAATTATGGAGGCGGACAACTGCGACAGTAATCAAATAATTGTCACATATATTTCACTCGACTTCAATTTTTACAGTTGCAAAAGATGATTATACCTACATACATACATACATACGTATATTAAAAGTATTATAAAACTGATATCTCAGTTAAAGTATAAAATCGAATTAATATTATGCAATGCCCATATACGTACATCTACGTATATATTTGCTTATATGTATATTTATTCATGACTCAATTCTGGTTTTATATAACCTTTTTATAAGTATAAAAACAATAATCACCTTATCGATAACCCACAACATTTCCATTTTGCCCTTTAATAATTGTATTTATAGTTTTATTTATTTAATAATTATTTCATTATTCACTTAAAGTATTTATGTAAATTTAATTTATAAACAAGTAATTTGTGGAGCCCATTTAATTATCCAATTAAAGAAATTAACTTGAAAAATTGTGAAAATATTTCACGATTCGTTGAAGTTCAAATTGGAAATGAAAATGAAAATGCGCTGCTTTAACAATTTTCGCTCGGTTGGCGGATGGGCGGGAGATGGGGGCGTGGTCACTGCTGCGGAAACATGCACGAACAAGCGCTTTGCGTTTTGCATTTTTGGCTATCGCGGATGCGAATGCGGATTTCGGTTTTGGTTTTGGGTTTGGTTTGTTGTTGGGTTTGTTCGATTTAGGTTTTTGGTTGCGGTGTCGATTGTGTCGATATATTTTGCAAACGCATGCATTTTTGCGGTCCATTAAAACAGTCAGCGACAATAACAGCAGCAGTAGCAATAACAACAACAACAATGAGCCAAAGAAAAACTCATGGAAAGCGAAGGCACAAATTTAGAAGAAAATTCACGTCAAATAAGACCAAAGCAAGGTCAAGTGAACGTGGAGAGCGACTAACGCGCTCGCTCGTTCTCTCTCTCTAAATTGCTCTCTGCTCTCTGCTCTCTGCTCTCTGCTCTCTGCTCACTGCTCTCTTTGAAACGTCACCACCAATAACTGATGAGTCACACGCAATGCTTGAGCACTTGACACACTGTGTGCGACGCCACTGTTGTGTGTTTTGCTGTTGCTGCTTTGTGTGTGGGAGCGTGCGCGGCATACTTTGCCCAAGCAGGTAAACACAAATGCGCGCAACAGAGACAGCTAGTGTATTTAAGCGATGTGAGTGCAGCTGTTAAGCCAGAGCCAACAATAACAACGATAGCAACACAATTTATTTTCTGTTTTACGCTCTCTGACGCTCACCACTGGATCGTTTAGGTCGCTCAGTAACTGCGAAGATTTCACAGCGTTTGGGTGTGTTTTTATTAGGCTGCTAGTGCGAAATTTCTCCATGCGGGCAACAATTTAATTTTGCCAACAAGTGAACTTCAATAAAAAGAGTAGAACTACAGTAAAAGAATAATCGCATAAGTTAACTGCACAAGCAAATGTACATATAGCAACGTGTGTTCATCTATGTGTTCATGTGTGTATCTGTGTTAGTACGTGAGCAAAAAGTAGATACGCGAGTTGTATAATCGCCAAAACTTGTTGAATTCGCTGCCTCCCTCGCACTACTGTGTGAGTGCAAAGATACATAAAGAAACTAAAGCAACAGCAACAACACCAACTGAGACGACGTCATGCAAGCAATCAAATGTGTTGTTGTTGGCGACGGCGCCGTGGGCAAGACCTGCCTGCTGATCAGCTATACAACGAACGCCTTCCCCGGCGAATATATACCAACAGTATTCGATAACTATTCTGCGAATGTGATGGTCGATGCCAAACCGATTAATCTCGGTCTATGGGATACGGCCGGGCAGGAAGATTACGATAGACTGCGACCTTTGTCCTATCCACAGACGGACGTATTTCTCATTTGCTTCTCGCTGGTGAACCCCGCCTCCTTTGAGAACGTACGCGCCAAATGGTTTCCCGAGGTGCGTCATCATTGCAACAATGTGCCGATTATTCTCGTCGGCACGAAGCTCGATCTGCGCGACGATAAACAGACAATTGAGAAACTGAAGGATAAGAAGCTGACGCCCATTACCTATCCGCAGGGCTTAGCCATGGCCAAGGAAATTTCAGCGGTTAAATATTTAGAGTGCTCTGCTCTAACACAAAAGGGTCTGAAAACGGTATTCGATGAGGCCATACGCTCCGTCCTATGCCCACCGATAGGCAAACCAAACAATCGGAAGTGCATACTTCTCTAAATGGGTGCGAGGGGGAGGCGTAACAAAAAGAAGAGAAAAATACAGAAAGTACAGCGAGCAGAGGGCAACCGAGTGAAAGAGAGCGAAAAAAGCTTGCAAAAAAAAAAAAAAAAAACAAAAAAAAATTATTCGCTTTAGTAACAGTAACAATAACAAATACATACAAATATAAGTACATGAATGTATGTGTGTGTGTGCATGCAAGCGAATGAGTAGGAGGCGAACCATTGATTGTCACGCACAAGAGCAAAGTATTCAGTTTTGTTGGTGTTGTTCTAGTTGTCTATTTGTGCGTGTGTGTGGGGGGCCATAGTTGACAAACATAAACAACATGTGTATAGACACATGTGCCTAAACATAACAAAGTTCAGCAACAAATTTGTATGACAAATTCGTTTAGAATTTCTCTGGAAATTCGAATACATAAAAAAAGCTATAATTAATTGCTAATAAATCTAGATGATTTGATGATTTGCACAGAGATAACGGCTTCTAGACAACTCGCTTATCAAAACGAACAAATTTTTGTTGCACATGCCTATAAATAAGCACAGTAAAAATAAAAAAAAAATTAACAACGAGGGCAACGGCAACAGCAACTTTGGCCCCTTTTCACACGAGCAAAACTTGATAAATTTCTTTATTAAATTTAAACATAATTATTAATAATCTACACACATGTGCTTCCAAATGTGTGCAATAAACAATAAAAATAATAATATTAATAATTCAATTGTTATGTGCAATGCTTTTCGTACGCATTTTTATGTAATTTATTTCATTTTGCAATTAATGTTCACTTATATATATATATATATATATATATATATTTATATATGTTTATATGACAAATCGTTAAGGAAATGCAAAAACTTTTGCCAACATGTGCTTCTTTTTTTACCACAATTTATTTATATTAACACATAATTTACTGTTACAAATCTAAAAGAAACAAATAAAAAATATATAAAATTTTGTAAATAAAGGGAAATAAATGTATTTTTTTTTTTTTTTTTTTTTTTTTTTTTTTTTTTTTTTTTCGTTTTTATTTCTTTATTTTGTTGCAGCTTATTGTCTTAGACTCTATAGCGCATTTAGCTCTAAACCTTAACTAATGGGAGGGCAGATATGCCAATTATTCTGCACTTGTAGCTACTATCTTAATTAGTTCTAATATTGTCTAGAGGATGCAATCTCTTCAGTCTTCGCCTATTGTTGTTTATAGCCAGGTTGCTTGCGAGATGGTTAGGATGCGCTGCAAGTCTGTCCGCGTATCTTGAACTGTGTCGCCCAATGAGTTCAGCAACTGTGGGAATTGCTAAATCCCTATGTAAGACTGAGTTTCTTACAAACCAGCTGGCTCCAGTCCATCTGCGTAGTGCTTTATTCTGCAGGGTCTGAATTTTGTTCCTTGTAGTCTTCGCCGAGGAGCCCCATAGAGAGATACCATATACGAAGGTTGGGACAACTATTGCCTTGTAGATGGCGGCCTTGCTGCTGTAAGACAACTTGCTTGAAGCTCTCAGCATCCAGTCGAGGGTTTTTAGCTTGCTTTTGCATTTTGAGGTTACTTGACTTATGTGCGCTTTAAAAGTCAGCCTTCTGTCAAGAGTGATACCAAGGTACTTTACTTTTGAGGCTTTGGGAATAGTGGGCCCCAATGCAACGCTTGGGCAATCTCCTCTTCTAGTGGCGAAGGTAGTATGTACAGACTTTTGTGCATTAATGGTGATACACCACCGTTTTGCCCAGCGTCCGAAAGAGTCCAGATATTTTTGTAGTGAGTCTGAAGCTTCTTGCGCAGATACGTGACGTGATAAGATGGCGGTGTCATCTGCATAGGTCGCTATGAGTACTGCATCTGTACTTCCTATATTTGGCTCGGGAGTTGGCATATCTCCTGTGAATAAAGTATAAAGTGTTGGGCCTAGAACACTACCCTGTGGTACTCCAGCCATAATTGGTCTAGTCAAGGATACTGTTTGCCCCCTTGACACTTGGAAGGTTCTTCCAATAAGGTATGAGGATAGCAACGCGAAAAATGGGGCTGGAAGGGTGGTCCTCACTTTCTGCAGCAGTCCCAGGTGCCAAACTCGATCAAACGCCTGTTTGATGTCTAAAAAGACGGCAGAGCAGTACATCTTTTCTTCAAAGGCTCCAAGGATATGGTGCACAACTCTGTGAACCTGTTCCGGTGTTCCATGCTGTCTCCTGAAGCCAAACTGATGGTTTGGAATGGCCTCCTGGCGTCCCAGATGTGTCAGTACTCGTTCCAGAAATATTCTTTCGAATATTTTGGAGAGTACTGGCAACAGGCTAATTGGTCTGTACGACTCAATTTCTCCCACGGGTTTGCCAGGCTTAGGAATCATCACAATCACGGCGCGCTTCCAGCAGGCTGGAAAGTGCCGGATGCGGAGCATGGCGTTGTACACCATAGTTATGTAGTCTATGGTGGAGTCAGGCAGTGCTCTAAGGACTCTGCCGTTTATTAGATCATATCCAGGGGATTTTTTTGCCTTCACTCTTCTGATGTGTTCAAGAACCTCTTCTTTTGTACATCCAGTTATCTGGTCTTCAGCTGGGAGGGGCGAGAGAACGATGTCTTCTGTTGCTTCGATTTCTGAGGCCTCTGCGGTAATCACCGGCGTGAATTGGTCTTGAAGGTGGTTTGCAAAAGCCTCAGCTTGAGCTTCGTCTCCAATGTGCCAGGAACCAGAAATGCTCCGAATGGGATGACGTCGTATTGGCTGCCGTTTGAGCTTTCTTGTAAATTTCCATAATTGAAACTCTGCGTCAGTGGGCGATTCAGCTCGTACCAGCGCATCGCTGATACACCTCTTTTGAAGCAGGGCGAGAGCAGCTTTAAGATGCCTCGTGGCTTCGTTGTACATGGATTTGGCATCAGGCGTGCGTAATCTTAACCAGCGTCTCCTGGCCCATCTTTTGTGTATTAGTAGGTGTTGGGCCTCCAAGGTGAGGGGGATGTTGTACGGAGACTGTTGTCTTGTTTGGCAAGATGGTGGGGCGGCTTGGTGCGCAGCTTTGACTATTTCTTCCTGCAGTTTGTTTGCTGCGTAGTCCACGTCTTCAGGAGTGTTAAGTTCCATTTCTATGTGCAAAGAGTAATGGAGCTCGCGCCTAAAGACTCCTAAATCTGATCCTGCTGGCAGTAGTTGTTTCCTAATGGGCAAGGGCTGTGGCTGCGCGTGGATTGTGACTATTAGTGGCAGGTGGTCAGAGGATAGGTCCAATGATTCTTCAATGGTCAATTGCCGGTCACAGATGCCTTTGTAGACAGCGAAGTCGATTGCCGAGGGCCTGTGTCCATTAATTGGGTAACGGGTGGGGGCTCCAGTCGCCAATATGCTGAATTGTAAGTTTTGAATCGCCTCAAATATGACTTCTCCGCGACGATTCGCACTATTGCTTCCCCAAAATGGGTGCCATCCATTCCAGTCGCCGCCGATGAGGGTCTTATTCAACCTTTGGCCTAGAACCTGTTCCATGTGATGATCACACAGACCAGTGTTTGGCGGAAGATAAATTGACGCAACTTCGATCGCTCCAATAGACGTAGGCAGGGTGATGGCTGAGACCTGCATTGTTGCGTTGCAAATTGGCAGTAAAGGTGTATGCGGTATTGTTGCTCGTATGAGGATTGAGGATCCACCAAAGCAGTTTGCTCCTTCACCATGAGCCTGATAGTGTTCGTATCCGAAAATTTGTGTAGTGGGGCACTCATGAGTTTCTGTTATTAACATTATATCTATGTTTTCTTGTGAGAGAAACGCAGCCAGTTCCTGAGTCTTGTTTCTCAGGCCATTGGCGTTCCAGATACCCACACGTAAAGCCATTATTTGTAGGCAAGCTTGGTTATGATGGCCATTAAACTGTTTAGCATGGTTGCTTGTTGGGATTGTACTTCTCGCATCGCTTTGAGCTCGGCATTAATTGCGTCAAACTGACGTTGTTGTTGCTGAAGCATTTCAGTGAACAAAGTGTCACTTGTGGTATTCTTATTTGACGGTCCACCTCTAGCGGCCTGTGCGTAAGAAACACCACTAATAGGCGTTGCAAAGCTCGTGGCTTGGGTAATGCTCCGGGGCCTTGTAATTTCGGAAGCAGTACTCGGACCCGTAGACGGTGTTTGTGTGGGACTCCTTTTTTGTGCTGGGGATTGCAATTTGCGCAACCGCTTGTATACTTGGCAGCCCTTATAGTTGGCTGGGTGCTGTAACTCACAGTGCACACAAGTTGGTGCCTGGTCCTTTTCGCGGGTGCAGTCTTTGGATGCGTGTTTCCCGGCGCAACGCACACATCTGGGAGCTTTGTGGCAGTAGCGTTGTGTGTGTCCAAATTCTTGACAGCGATGGCATTGTGTCAGGTCGTTGTATCTTCTTGGCAGTTCCACTGTGCAGCGTTGCCTGCAGACAACTCGAATGTCCAAAATTTCTTTGTTGTTGGGGGCCTGAGCCACGTCAACAAAAAATATATTTAGCGGTGTTTTGTCCATACGGCTCAGTGGGTTGTGCACATTTGTAATTGTGTGGCCTTTGGTTTCCAATTCCTTTTTAATTAGTGTTGTATCAGTGCTGGAGTGAAGCCCTTTGAACACGACTCTATATGGTTTGTCCTCCTTAAGCTGGTAGCAGTGGAACTCCAATTCCAGCTTAGTAAAGTGGTCTATAACTCTGCGATAGTCCTCACTGCATTGGGTTAATACACCTATGTTATTCTTCTTTGGCTTAATTACGTATGATTTAGCATCAATTACTTTATCTATTATCTGTTGAAGTAGGGCCACAGACTTGATGTTTGGACACCATATGGGGGGCGGACGAGGTTTCGGTGTAGTTTGCTGGTCGGTCAATACTGGGGCTTCTGGAGCTACAGGTGATTCGCTGTAGTCTTCATCTTCTTCTACGAGCAGTGAAAATCGATTTTCTGATATTAATGCTGCATTGCTGGTGCTTGGTTCGTCGAAGATGAGCCTTTTCTTGATGGTTTTTGGTGAATTTGGCTGTTTACGTTTCGTGTTTTTGTTGTTAGTGATGCCTTGCACGGAGGCGATATCTATTTTTGAGTTTATTGGCATGATGGAGGCTTGCCTAT